TGCTGTCCTAGTGAATAATTCTTTAGTGTAATGCTAGGTAACATACTGCTCATTTCTGTATGGTGTGATATTTGTGTGATTTTGCCATATTTAGAATGCTGGTTATCATGGTGTTTACCTGCTCTCTACAAGCTTTTTGGGTAGGTTCCTGTTGCTACAGAGACCATGACTCTTGCTGCCATGTATTGCTGGTTATCCTAAATTTTTAACAAAGAGTATATTCCTACTAGTGTGAATTCACTTAGGTAAATAGTCTGTTCTTGCAAACAATTTACTTCAATGTTTAAAAATGTAAACACAAGTGGTATTTTGGAATTAAGATTGCCTAGAGCACAAAGAATGCAGAAATCTTTTTATATGGTTCTGTTTAAACAAACAGAACCATAAGTACTTTAAACAAACAAACTTATAAGTACTTTGAAAAAGAATATTTCGACCCACGAATAGCTTCTGAGACTTTGGTATACATTAAATGAGATAATATGAAAAGTGCATTTGCTTGTGATTTAATCTGCACTGGACTGGGGGAACTCACATGTACTTCTATGAGAGGTAGAAGTGCTTTTGGAACCCCAGAATATAACCAGCTTCAGGGTTTCAATATAGGTTCTCTTCTGCCTAGCATTTGTGACCTTTTAAATAACTACATGTTTTCTCAGTTCATACCTATAGTTTTTCTATTTAATTTTTAATGCATTGCATTTTGACACTGTTCTGTCACCTCAGATTTTGTACTCCTTCCTTTTTTTGTGTACTAGTTTGCCTTTTTTTGTACAGTAGCATTTACCAAAGATTTTGTTCAGCTACTTACTTGCACTATCTGATAAGTACACATCAGCATAATGACTTAGTTGCTGCAGACTTGTTACTTTTTTTCACCTTTCAAATCATCAATAGCTTCATGATGATCAAAAGTGAAGTCTGAGCTTTAGCTTTGAAAATATTTTGGGTTGCACCAAGCTTTGGATACAAAGTAAAACATGGAAATATATATATGTATAGATGAACAATCTTACAGGTTTTGCAGAGCTATTGTGGTAGACAGACCAAAAAACCCTTAAATTTTGGTTTTTCTCTTGAAAAGTGTAATTTGATATGTGGTTTTAGCAACTCCTGGGTTTATGATAATAAGATATCATGTTTTAATATATGCTTAACAGACTCAAAAAATATACATTTCTATATAATATTTATTAAGAACAGATGTTTCTGGAAAATAAAAACTTAATAGAATATAGTGCAAGTAGAGCAGATTCAGTAGTATTGATAAACTTTGTGTATCCATACTTGGTGTTGATTTTTCGGGTTTCCCTTGGAGAGAACTGTGTTTTTTGGAATGTAATTACAAAGCACTTTGCAGGAAGATCCTGGTATTAGCCATGGAAAATTTCAGACATCTCTGGCTCTTTGAAGTAGTCTATTTTCTGGTTGTGGGGTTTTTTATTGTTGTTGGGATTTTGTGGTTGGGTTTTTTTAAAATTATTTGGTGGTTTTCTTGTGTGTGGTAGTTTGGTCTTGCTGGTTTCTTCAGGGGTGAGAGTTTTTTAAGTAAATAAAATGCAAAGGTACTTTAAATTTTATTAAAATCACATTTATCTTTCCAGGGCAGGCATGTTCTTCTGCATTAAAGTATCTTGGTCAATTGAATACGTGAATTCTGTTTATGTAAACTGAGAAAGTCCTTCAGCAACAGAGAGATTATCCATGTTTCCTGTAAGAGAAAGTTTCAATAGCAGGATTTCAGCATGAAAACTTTCCATGGTTTTGAGAGGTAGTATGAGAAATGAGAAAGAAAAACTTAACATGAAAGTAGAGGTTAAAATAAAAATTTTGAGCCTCAGATGTGACATTATTGTGTGTTTATTTTATGACAATTTCTTTTGAGTATGATGTTATTAAAATAACAGAAATGCTCAGGACTAAACTGTTGTAATGGTGACTATGTGTTTTTTCTTCCTAGTTTCTAACCTAAACCTTCCTCCTTCCAGTTCAAAGCAATTGTATTGCCTCTTGACATATCACTCCACGCCCTTGAAAAAAGTCCCTGTCCAGCTTCCTGGTAGGCTCTTTCTTGGTGCTGGAAGGCTGCTCTAAGGTTTCCCCAGAGCTCTCTTATCTCTAGGGTGAAGAGTCCCAACTCTTTCAGCCTTTCTTTCTATAGAAGAATTGTTCCATCCCTCCAGTCGTTTTTATTGTCCCCTTCTGGACTCGCTTCAGCAAGTCCACATCCTTGCTACATTGGGACCCCCAGCACTTGTGTCAGTAAAATCTCCTCTGAATCCTGTTATGACATCTGACCAGAATTATTGCTGCCTTAGAGTGGCCGAGCATCTTGCTGTTATTCTAGTACATATATATATATATATATAGATCAACTTAGTATTCAGGAGGATGGAGTTCATACAAGTCCTCTATAGGCAGTCCCAGTAATGCCTAATAGACACATCTGAGCATGAGGTCTGAATGATCGGTGCGAGTTCATTTCTTAAGCCATTGTTTTGAGAAAAAGAAAACTGCTTTGTGGTGGTCCTTGCCATTTAGTTTTGTGGTTAGAGTATTTATCCAAGAACTAGGAGTTGCATGGATTTCATGTTATTCTCAATTTTAGATTTTGGCAAATGCCAGAATTTCGTATGAAAGGTAAATAGTGGAGGGGGTATCCTCTTTGCTTTTGCGTGAACTTTGTCAGTGAGTATCAAATATTCAGGGTATTGAAAATCTGGATTAGCAGAGAAGGTGACTCAGTGACAAGGAATTCACCTAGGAGTGAGGCAAATATGTGCTTTTCTGAGGAGAAAGGAAAATGTGAAAATTACATGTAACTTCATGCAGGCCGTTTAATTTTTTGTGCTGTTGATAGCATTGTTATAGCAATTATTACAGTGCAGCTTTCTGATCTTGGGAAGACTGCCTGTTTCCCCTGTCTGGATAGAAGAATGAATGAGGTAACATTTCACAGGCAAGGTGGAAAGGCAAAGGAGAGTGCAGAGAATCCAACATTTATCGGGCTGGAGTTCTACTTAGTCATCACTTCTTGCTCTCCCCTGCTTCCCTCCAAACTGAAGTGCTTTCATCCAGCTGTTGTTGGTCCTTTGCAAGCAGAACTAATGCTAATTTTTGTCTGCTCTGCTACCACTGAAAGGCAAGTGGCATTGTTTAAAATATGTAAATTTATTCACCTACTGCCTTTAGCTTTCTATTGAGTGTTTATTTAAAATAAGGATAATATTAAAAGTTTTAAATTAATTTGGAAGGGGTTTTTTTGCATTATTTAGTCAAATGTTAAAGAGAATTCTTTTTTTCTTTAGTATGCATAGATGTCCCACCACATCTCTCTGGATTGCTGCTGTGTGCATTTCTCTCTTCATTTTTTCCTTGCTCCTTCTCAGCTGTTAGTTTTGTTGGGGTTTTTTTTTTGTTTTGTTCTTGTGCTTTTTCTTCTTTACTTGACTTCTCCCCTTGACCTGGAGCATCAGTAAGCACTTTAATGTTTACTGGCGTACTTTGTGGTGAATTTAGACAAACAAACTAAGACCTTGCAGTTCAAGATGGTTCAGCTCAGTAGCTGGCTCCACTTGTACAGCAGTTCAGTACACAATAATATATAGACACTCTTGGCACTGGCAGACTGTTCATCATCTGCATGACATCGGGTCCTACTTTTGCTGGAAGCAAAACAGCTCTTGGTTACTTGAATCCAAGGGTCTGATTTCCACCCAGTAAGACCTGCAACCTGGTTGGAATAATCCAGGCTTTGTAATTCCTTAAATTGTCAGTAATGGGGTGGACATAGCTCTTCTCTTGTAACTTTTTGTTTTGTTTAAAGGATTTCAAGACAGTGTACACCTGAAGAGTGCTTGGAAAAAGTTAAGACACCTGTTAACTTGAGTCAAGCTGGAATTCTTGTGAAAAGTTAAGCATTTTCTTCCTGGCTGCTGGGAACAGATTCTGCTTTCAGTAAGTCTGGAAATAAGCCTGTTTCATACTTCATCTACTTTAGGGTTTTAGCAGTGGAGTGGAGTTTACCAGTAATAAAAACCTGTTTATTTTTATGTGCTGAACAATTAGGATTTTTGTGAGGTTTTACAAATTTATTTGAGGAGAAGGGGATGGGGGGAGAGGGAGTGGTAGGCAGCTTAGTGTGTAGTTGGCTGAATTTCTTGCCTGCATTTTCCAAGAGAAGAGTGCTTTATCTTACTCATTTGCAGCACCCATATCTTGGGACATCCATTTTCCCCCTTTCTGTCTTCTACCTTTAAATTAACCACTGAGCTCTTGGAGGACAATTTTTTTTTCACAGTGGGAGTATTTGTCTGTCATTCATATTATGTCTCAGATGGAAGTACTGGTGCTCAGTTAATGGTCCTGCAGGCTGCAACCTTAATTGCTTGGAGGCACCATTTGAGGAAGCGGTGTGCCCTGAGGACACTATGTCCTTAGATGGATAGGAAAATTGAGTCCTTGGCATGATATGGTTTCTGTCCAAGGAATGTATTGAGGTCTTGCTTAAATAAGAACACCAAATACTCCATGTTTCTCACTGTGCCTCTAGCCTTAGTTATTCTATAGATACACAAAATCCAAGTCAGGAATCAGCATGTTGTGGCATCTCATAATATTGTCAAGTAAGTTTGAGAAATGTATTTACTGGCTTCAGCAAAAACTTCGTGTTAAAATTCTGTCATTGGCAGGAAAATAATGTCTAGTAAATGACTGATACTGAAAAGTCTATATTTCATTGTCATCAGACTTTTTGAACCTTGGTAGGCCTGAATTATAATGCAGAATCATACTCCATATTTAAAAAGCAATAGTTTATTTTAGAAAGCTGGATCAAATAGTGTGAAGGGAGAAGAGCTTGTGACAGTGTGGAGAAATGCAATCACTGTGAATTAATTTAGCATTTCTAGTGAAGGGACATCCAGTGTTGTGTCAGCATTTCTTCTCTAAAGAGCAAAAGATGTCAATAATATGTAGTTTTTTAATGTCTTACAGGTTGTCAGAGATGGTGATTTGAAGAATCATACTTCCAATATGAACAAAGCAAAAGCATCATCTGAAAAAAGGTAAATTTAAAACTACAGTCACATCTTAACATCAAGGTATTTGAGATTTGTAAAAAAAACAATCTTTAACTTAGTAAGAATATCTTTTATCTTCTTACTAAGAAGATAAATAAAATACACATTGTGGGTCTCTAGTTGGGATGTGCACGTTGGTGTGCTGAAACATTGAGGGAGTTAATACTGATTAACACAAAATATCTTCACATTTTTATAAATAACTTCTTAAATATAAATTTTCAGTTAATGATACATACTAAATTTAATTGAAAATTTAATTAATTTCACAATTTTATGCACATATTGGTAAACAAAAAGTTTTTTCTACTGAAGGAATTAAAGAAGTTTATAATACTGTATAAGAAGGCATGAATTTGTCATAAGATGTATGTCATCCTGCGACAATCTTGCAATCCAACACATAGCTAGGATGAACCAAAGTGGGATGCAGAAGATGCCAGGTTGGAAAGTCGTGTTTGTTATTTTCATGTGAACTTAGATGTCTTAGCTAGCATTTGCGACATGTGTGAGATTCTCTGGAAGGCTGTTAAGTTAAGGCACCTTGTTAAATCAAATCATCTAATCAGATTGAAAAAAAAGTGAAGTCAGCAAGATTGGGAATTCTGGCTTCAGTTTTAGTTTTCTGAAGTACTAGTTATTTTCTATGTGAGGAGGTAAATTTTCATGAAGAACATGCTCTATTGTGAATTATGTTTGTATGTTGGGATCTATTTAAAATTTGACTTCAAATTCTTTTATGTAGAATCATCCTTACTTTTGCTGACTTTGGGTTAGGGTTTATATCAGGCTGGTTTTTCCTGTTTTTGTGAGGGGTAAATCAAAAGAAATGGTAGAAAAACTTTTATTTTTTTCTTGTGGTAGACTAGCCCCTTAGGCATTATGATAAGCAAAGCAAGCTCTCTGTCAGCAATGAGTATTCTTGAAAATTATAATGCATAAAATATTTTATCACAAAGAATATTAGATATTTGCAGGGTTGCTACTTAAGTGCCGTTTATTCTTCTTTACTTAGAGACAAAATGAAAGTTTCCATCCCTGGAGTTCAAAACAGTTGTTCCCTAAGTCATGAATAAGTTATGGTGACTCTGTGTACAGAGATAGCTATGAACTCTAATCAGAAGTATCAGCTCTCTAACCATTACTTGATAACTGTGGAAGTGGTTGAGGAAAAAAAAAAAACAAAACCATAGCTTGAAATTTTTTTTGTTAGAATAAAATCAGAACAAACTCATGAGAAGCCTACCTGTTTTAAAGGCTCATGGTAACGTGCTAAAATGCAGATCTGTTTACTGTGCGGGAAAAAGGAACTCCCTTGTACATCTATGTGCTGGCTGACTGCAAACAGCAGTTTCAGGGGAAGTAGGTGTAATTGAGAAACCTATGACATCCCTCATTTGACTATTACATTTTGTAAGGCTTCTTCCAAGGTCAATAGCTAAAAACCATTCTAAGACAATTGAATTTTTATGAGCAGCTATGGCTTAGAGTTATCTTTCTCATTGTGGGTAGACATGTAGAAAGCTACAATGATGTGTTTTAGCATTTGCATAGTGGAAATGGCATACAATGAGTAATGGAGGATTGTGAATCTTACCACTTCTTCATTAAAAGAGTTCAAATGCTTAAATCTTTTGGGAGTGAAAGAAGTATCCATGTAATGAGGAATCTCTCTTTGAGAAAATACCTTCTGGTTGAGGAAGTTCACTTTCAAATGTGAACCCCTTCTTGATGTTGTTTCAAGTGTGAAGCCCTGAAGTCCTCAGTTCTGGGCATGCTTCCTTATTATATACTTGTGGCTTTCCGGACCAGAGAAAGAGGAAATCCACAAAGCTCCCTGGTTACCTAGAGTCATGTCATGTTCTAAGTTTTGGTAACAGTTGACATAAGGACAGGGGTGCTTCCTTCCAGGCAAAGTGGTAGTGTGAGGGGCATTTTGAACTGTAACATTTGAATGTGGAATGAAGAAAGAGTTTCCTGCCTGTGGAGATAAGAACTGTACCAGATCAACTAAGCCTGGTAAACTTCACTTCAAAATGCTTAAAGAAAGTGTAAATCTATCAGAGAATAATAATTATTGGTTGTCTTTGGACAGGGTTGAGCACTGACTGGATACAAGATCAATGGTAGTTGATGACTGTCAGAAGGAAATGGTGCCCAATTTACTTCTGGATGTGCTCTGTCTCTTTCTGGTTTCAGCTAATGGTGGCAAACATTCTGTTTTTTTTACTAAATATCTGTAAGAGAGGGAAGTTGTTGAAATTATGGACAACTTGAAGCTCGAAAGATCTGCAAAACTGCTGGAGGACCAAATTATTTCAAAATACTCTTATAAAATGCAGAAAATGGTTAAGAATATTTGGAAATGGAAATATGTGCAGGATACTATGCTTAGAGAGGTATGTCACTGGAAGAGATAAAGGACAGTTGCATTTATAGTAAGAAGTGCCTAAAATGACAATATTAAACTTCAGGGAGAAAGCCTTTCAAATGAAGGGATACAAAGAATGAGATTGTCTTTGGTTATTGAATCATTTTTGCAGGTCATCAGGGACTGGTCTGGCATATATGTGTCATGAAGAGTATCTCTGGTGTTTATCCAGATCTGAAGAGAATAGTTTTTATGGTGCTATGAAGTTTCTTTTGGTGCTCTTTAGTCATGGTTTTTAGGAATTAAAGATAACAGAGACTCTATGTAACCCTCAGTGACAGAGTGCTATTATAAGAAGGCTTTAGAATGGACGGGATGAAAAAAGTCACTCCTAATAGCAAGAAGGGTTCCTCACCTTGTGGGAAAACCAGTCTCATATTGTTTCTGTGCCCCTCCAACATCAGTGACAAGCTCAGGCACTGAGCTCTGGAGAGGTGCATGATGGTGTGTCAGGTCAGTCTGAGTCATCTCATTTTTTCTGACAATGGCTTTTGACTGAGTAGAAACCATAGTTAGTCTTCTTGTTTGATGGGTGATGATTCAAATTTATGTTGGATACTCCAGACAGAATTCTTGAGACTGGTCTGCTTTGCATTTGTACCAGTTTGACCACAGGTTTCCCTTAGAAATGTCTCATTCTGCAAACCAATTTACTCATGGTGCAGCAACGTAACTGGTGCCTCCTAGGAGCGACCACCAACAAAGGAACCCCTGGGCTTTTATGCCTTCACAGTCCAAGAACAGCAGTCTCAGCTCTTTCCCCTGAGTCTTTAGCTCCTGCTGTGTCTCTGTCTGGTGACCACAAAAGTCTGGGCACAGTCTTCAGGGTATTCATCTGAGGTTCTGCAATGTTGGCAGCTTGAGAGGAAATGTTCCTTGGACAGGACAAAGTCCATTCTGAATGTTTCTTGTTGTGGGATTGAAAACACTGAATTCCATGGTGCCTCACCATTTTGGAGAACTGTCTTCTAGATTTGGCTGCTGAAGGGTTCACTGGTCAAAACATACATGTTTACATCACAAATAGGAAAGAGTCTCATTACAACTTGTACTTTCATTTTGTTCTGAGGTCAAATGGGTGATCCCAGCAATATTACCAACTCTGCTGATACATGTCTGTCTTGCTGCTGTAGTTCCTGTCCTGTGGTCTTTTTGATGTACTGTGCAGGCATTGAAAACTGTCAAATAGTTTTATAACCACTATGTAGATTAGTGTAGAATATTGGTAAATAAGAGTATAATTCTTGTTTTAAGAAGAAATCTCAGCCATAACTAAGAGGAAATCAAGACTTTATTTGCATTTCATTGTTGGCTGGTGTTAATTTTTAGGGATGCTTTATTGTGTATGCTGAAGACATGAAATGCAGATAGCTGTATTTATGTTGGAAGACTTTATACAAGATGAATAGCCTAAAACCATTTTAAAGATATCTCTGCTGTAATAAGCAGTTATTGCTGTTGGTAGAAACTCTGTCCCCAGGAGGAGATTATAACTCTAAATCTTAGAACTTAAGTTGTTATACTGCCCCGTACTGAGAATTTTTTACCCTACCTAAACCTTTTAAAGCTTTTATTAACTATGGAGGAATTGTGTTAGATGCCAGCTTCTTGTACATGGTAAATTGCTTCCATATGTCAGTGTTGCTTGAATTTTCCAGGCTGCAGCAGTCAAAAATCAGGTTTTCTCTGACATTTTAATACCTATAGGTGAATTCTATCTTTACAAAGACTTTCTTTTAAAATTTTTGTTGTTACTATTATTACTTATTATTCCTGAGCATCAGCTTTGCTTTCTTCGATTTTTTTCATCTTTCAAACGACGTTAATTTCATTGTGGGACCAATGGTGTACCACAATGGAAGTGATGTGCACACACGCCAGTTGAAGCAGCAGTTCTCTTACACATCGCCTTACATGTGGATTGGCTGGACTCTTACTTCTTTTCCTTGTAGAGCTGGTGAAGATAACATCCTATATAATTTGGTCAGTTTGTGTATTGGAGCAACAGAACCTGTGGATTTCATTACAATCTTGTGTCAATTTTGGAGCATTTCAAGTTCAGCAGATAAACAGAGAAGCAGAGATAAGCAAAACAAAGCTTATGCAAATAATAATGGCTTTATGCTATTCAGCATGGTGTTAGATGGTGAGAAAGGATTGGAGTTATTATGCTTCACTTACTCAAGGGAATTAATGTTTCAGCACCCAAGACAGATTTAATTTAGATTAAAAAATAATTAAATTTTGATAATTAAAATTTTTAATAATTAATTTTTTTTAAGTCTATCAAGTACCTGAGAAGGTGATAGGCTTACTTCACAAGATAAAATGACTCCTATTTAAGACCTATAATTAATATAACCATTTCTTATTCTTGTTCTTACTAGCTTGTAAGTATCATCCGTAATCTGAAATTGATTTTTGGCTATGCTTCTCATTTAGATGTCTGTGTGGAAAAGCGAGAGTGGTGGAAGCAGTTTCCTGTGCAGCTCTCACATCAATTTGCCTTCATGGCAGTATAACTTTTGCTCTCAACTAACTTTTTCCCATAATTTTAACATTTTAGTAGAGTTAACTGTACGCGTGAAACCTTTACACAGATGTAAGATATAAATCAAGGAGTAATAATTCCTCACTGTATAAACAAAACTTACTGACTATTCATAAAGCTAGTATCGTAGATTTTAATTTTATTGTAGATAAAGCAATGTTGTGTAAAATGAATTATTGTTGATTATTTGGGGACTCTAATGTTGTAAATGAAAAGCCAAGTTAGTTAATGCATGGAAGTCATAGTTTCCTGTAGTTAATTGCATGACTACAATTGAAATGTTAAACATCTGTTTAAAAATTACTGTCATGTAGGAATGTGAATCTCAAAACTATTCTGAATAGTTTTTATGATCTAAAAGTATAGAAAAAATAAAACAGTTTCTATACTGACTCTGTTTAGAATAAACACTTGGAGCAATTCTTTCTTTCTACTTATCTATATAAATGCTTGGACTGAAGTGGTGTCTTACACTAAAATACATTTTCAAGGCAATTTTTTGTTGGCAGGACTATTGGGTTTGCTGGTTTTGATAGCAGTGGGGAGGCTACAGCACTGGTTTCTGTGAGAAGCTGCTGGAAGTTTCCTCCATGTCCAGCAGAGCCAATCCCTGGTGGCTCCAATACAGATGTGTCACTGGCCTAGGCTGGGCCAGTCAGAAATGGTGATAACACTGCTGTGATAACAGATTTAAGATGAAAGGAAAAAAAGTTATTATGCAGATGTAATTGTGGCCAGAGAAGAGTAGGGTGAGAACACATGAGAGGAACAACTCTGCAGACACCAGGGTCAGTGGAGAAGGAGGAAGAGGAGGAGGGGGAGGTGCTCCAGGCACCAGAGCTGAGGTTCTGCTGCAGCCCCTGGTGCAAACCATGGCGAGGCAGCTGTGCCCTGCAGCCCATGGAGGTCCATGGGGATGCAGAGATCCACCTGCAGCTGGTGGAGGAGACTCACACTGGAGCAGGTGGATGCACAAAGGAGTCTGTGAGTCCAAGGGAGGCTCCATGATGGAGCAGCTTGTCCTTGAAGGACTAGTACCCTGTAAAAGAGTGACCCAGGCTGCAGCAGTTTTGGGAGGACTGTGTGTCCATGGGAGGGACTCTCATTGCAGCAGGTCACTGAGACAGAGCTGCTGCTCATGAGATGGACCCATGTTGGAGAAGTTCATGGAGAACTGTCTCCCATGGGATGGACCCCATGGTGCAGCAGGGGAATGACTCCTCTTCCTGAGCAGTGGGAGAAGCCTCAGGTGATGAACTGGCCATAACCCCATTCCCTGTCTCCCTGTGCTGCTGTGGTAGGAGCAGAGCTGGAAGGAAGGATGGGTGGCAGGAAGCTGTTTTTAAGGGTTATTTTACTTCTCATTACCCTGCTCTGATTTTGTCAATAATAAATTCCCTTCATATCTCTTAAGTTGAGCCTGTTTTGCCCCTGATGGTATTTGGTGAGTGATGTCTCCCAGTCCTTATCTCAACCCATGACCCTTTATTAAATTTTCTCTCCTCTGTTCAGCTGCAGAGGGGAGTGAGTGGCTTTGCTGGATGCCTGCCTTGTGGCCAGCATAAACCCACAAAAGCAGGGCAAAATGCCCTTGTAGTCAAAATGAATCCAAACTTGGATGATAATTTTAGAAACCTTCCTAAGTTTTTTCCTTCAAAATGGTGTTCTTGTTATTCAGCTGGTGTGTGCTAGTTTGCTCACTTCACAAGTGAGATTATTTTCTTCCTGTTCTGAAATGCCATCCTGTGAGACAAGCTGTCTTTTGGTCTGTTTGTAGCCAGTTTTTCCTTGAATGGCAGGTTTGATAGGGTATCCTGTCACTTAACATAAATTATTAAATAGAAGTCACTCTAGATGGCATAGATGAAGAACATTTGTACCTATAGCTGCATTTTACTTGCTGTAACTGATTTCCCTGTTGGCAGTTGCTCTTGGAGATGCTGTTACATACAATTAGTCTGTTACAGTACGGGCTTTGCAAAATCTGTAAGTTTGCCAGAACTGAGAATCAAGACTGTTTTCCAATCCAGATAAAATATGGAAGTGAATCAGCCACACCCTTTACTCTAGCATCAAGTTTCTGTTGTTAGGAGCTTTTGTGTCTGATTAAGATGGAAAAATCATATCTTTTTTGTAGTGTTTCTGCCAATTCTCGGACTATATCCCTGCTGTCACAGCTGGAGAAGATAAATTCGGACTCTGTGTTAGGAGAATCAGACAGTGCCAGACATGTTACCTCAAAGATCCTTCATCTGGTCCAGAGTCAAGGTAATTATCTAAGCTTTGTGGTTTTAGTAGTGCTTCTTGTATCTCCCTTGTTGGACTTTAAATTTTGACTTAGTGAACTTGATTATACATCTGCTTTTGTCACTGTTGAAAACGTCTGTTTAAGACCATGTTTAATATATCTCCTATAGTATTGGTAGTGCTGAGTCCATTTTGTGTTGTCAAATAGCTGTAATTTAAGTAATAATTCGCTTCATATGTATATATGTCTGTGTGTTATATATGTGTAAAGGGTAGAAGTATCTGGAAGGCAGCTTTCTTACTAATATTTTTCTTCACTTTTTTTTCTAGGCCATCACAAGATTGTTGAACAATTGAAAACAAAAATTAGTTTTAAAATTGACTAAATCTTTTACTTAGATCTTATTATATACATATATGCATTTTTAATAAGTTTTATTATTTATTAAATTTTCTTGTCAATTTGTAGATGATAACATATATTTTTTACTACAAGCCAGTATTGGTCTTTTTCTCTGACAGAAAAAACCAGGAAGGAGATGACTTCTAAGGGCTCCACTGGAATAGAAGTTATCCTGTCAACCCTAGAGGTAAAATGTTTTAATTTTTTTGGTTGTGGGTTCATAGCAGTTTTGCTTTTTATCATCATGAAATGTATATATTTTTATTATATTTGTATTATGAAATATATTGTTATCCTATGGAGTCTTCAAAGTTGTGTTGGTTTGTTATGAATAGATACTGCCTTTAAGTAACCTCCTCTTGACTTTCTCTCCCTTATATTTAGATATTTTAAGAAATTGCTTGTCACCTATCATTTCTAATCTATGTATCATATTACAAAATGTGTTTTAATTGGTTTTGTGGTTAATTTAGGCTGCCTAGTTGGATGGTTGCTATGTGGGTGCATCCAAAGTTCTATTTAATTTTGTGGTGGCAATTCCTCCTATCTTTAAGTATCCAAACCATTTTTAGACTGTATGCTAAACACAGATTTTTTTTTATTGCAGAATACAAGAGATCCTCAAACTATTCTAAATATATTGAATATTCTCATTGAGATAGTCTCAGTTGGTAAGTTTTCATTAAGAAGTAATATATGATTATATTTATGCTTGCTTTTTCAGATATCTTTTGTTTGTTTTCTCTGATTACTTTTTATTGTTGTTGGGTTTTTTCATAAAGTATCATTATTTTGGTTTTTGTTGTTGATTGCTGAAGCATATGCAGAATTAAAAGAATTTAAAGACTGAAGTTACTTTTCTAATAATCCTACACAATAGTTTGTTGCTGTATGTCTAGCATGTTCTTGCATAGTGCAGTCATATATAAATAAAATACTGATGTTGTAAAGACTAACTTCTGAAGACTTATATCTATATCTTAGATATTTAATTTTTCTTTGGCTTTAGATGTATCAGTTCAGTTTTAATTTCTAGGTTGTGGTCGGAGAGCAAGCGTCTTAGTCACTAAAGGAGGGACACAGATCTTGTTACAGCTGCTTTTGACTGCCAGCAAAGACTCTCCACCAAATGAAGAACTAATGGTGCTTCTTCATACTCTCCTTGCAAAAATTGGTCCAAAAGGTGATACTATGGCTTAATAATTACAGTTTTATAATTGAAACTTAATAATTTTTTTTCTGTAGTTGTGTAAGCATCCACATACTCAGAACTGGTAGAGAAGAAAAAAATTAAAGTGAAGTAAATTAGAGGGGAGGAAAGAATGGTGGAAAGTAGATAAGCAGAGTTGACATCAGTAGAGAGTTCAGTAATTTAACTTCTTTTTTTTTTAACAATTTCAAAATCAGTGTCATTGGTCTTGTATTTCTCTGATGTCAGACAAGAAGATTGGTGTGAAAGCAAGAATAAATGGTGTCCTAAACATATCATTGAATTTAGTGAAGCATAATTTGCAGAACCACAGGCTAGTATTGCCATGTCTTCAAGTATTAAGAGTTTATTCAACCAACTGTAAGTATTGCAGAAAGTTATTTTCTTTCCTATATGAATAAAGCTTTTTATCTAGATAAGGTTACAATATCAACTCTGAGTGCTTGTTTAATGTTTGTTGTTTAAACTATTTTTGTCTAAAAATTTTCTCCTTATATCCTCAAAATGCTTAAATTCTAGAAAGAAATATTTTTTTGATCAGTGCTATTGGGTGTGTGGAATTTTGAGCCATCTAATTTGCATAAATGCTGATTTTTAAAGCTCTAAACCAGAAATGCTAATAGTTTGCTAGCAGAAGCACTTAGAGATAAATAATTACTCTCTTTATTATTCATTCTCATGTTTTTTATTTCTGATGTTATATTTATTTCTTTATTACCAATTTAATACTTGGTTAACACAGAAAATATTTCAATTTAACCTAATTATTTCTTAATTTAACCTTTTCCTTACTCCTTTTGTTCAAGAGCTCCACTCTCCACTATTGGACTAATATTTTTCCACAAGAGCCTAGTTGTTTTGGCAGGCAGTAGGAAATTGATGAAAATAGTGAGGTTCTTTCTGTATCTCTACTGTCAGTTAGATGTTCTTAATTTTTTTTCATTTAAGCTTGAAATGGTTGTTAATCTTCTTATTTATGTGCAAGAAATTTAAAACATGGCCAGGTTCCCCCACAGAGAACTGATTTGGTAATCTGTAAGATTATCGAATCAGGTCATTCACATGAGCAGCAATAATTCATAAAGCCTTAATATTTTCAAAACATGGAAGCTTTATTTCTGTTGAGCTGTCTGATAATGAGGTGAAACACTCCTAAAATGAAAAGTCTAATACAGATAGTTACATTGGTTACATTGCTTATCTGAAAACTTGCTTCATCCTGAAAATGGGACTGAGTCTCTAATTTAAATTCTAAGATCAGTTCTGTTTTTCTGTATTTCTCACCCTTTATGAAAAGAAAAACTACTGTAATTTTTTGTAATTTGTAATTTTCTGATGAGTAGTAATTCTTCAAGTTTCTGTACAGTTACTATCAGAGTAAGTCCTAACTTGACTTAGGTTCTGGTATGATGTTGCTGCTAACGATGATAAAATTGCCACTTGGGTTCACGTAGTAAGTTCTACAGTGATAACAGTGTTTATTATATTGAAGTAAATTCTTAGCTGCTCTCTTCCTAGTTTGTTAGGAGAACATATTGCTAAACTCAGTCAGGAATGGAATTTTTGTGTGTGTCAGCAGTTTGTATTTTCAGTTGGCTGTTGTACTTCTGACATACACTTTAAGTACATATTTCTCTAACATGGGTCTTAGCATTATTTCTTTTCATTTGCTCCCATTCAAATAGATTACTTTTATATTTTTTTTCTGAGAACATGTATTCAGAGCATGTAGTTCAGGAAAGCTATACCAATTGGCATTTTAAAATTTTGTAGCAGACTCTTGGATTTCAAATCCTGGTGAATATACCTGTTTGTCCAAATACTGAAGGGTAATAGTCATATCTTATGACGGCAAATCATAGAACCTGAAATTTTAGAACACCTGCTGTTTCAGTAAACTGTGAATTTCTATAAAGAAAATTGCTTTTGTGTTGTATCTTAGTAACAAAGAAAGCAGAAGCCTGCATTGGAAGTAGTATGTGGTTTTATTTGTAAAGTAATAATTAAGTTTTCTTCTTTTCCAAGTTTTAACAGGATTGGATCGTCATGCTTATTATGTGTAGAGTACCATCTGCTTGTCACTGTATGTCTTAAAGGACTAAAATGACTAGCATTTTTGTACTTCAGAATTAACTTGTGTGAATTTTAGTTTTGAGTATATGGATCTTTTTCTTTTGCCTTTCTTACTACATTATGTTAAAATGGATTGCTTTTAACTTCCAGCTGTAAATGCAGTATCTCTGGGAAAGAATGGAGTAGTAGAACTGATGTTTAAGATTATTGGCCCTTTTAGTAAAAGGAACACTAGCCTTATGAAGTAAGTAAGATTTCTTTAAAATACCATATGATAAAACCTTGTATGTTTTTTCAAAAGTTACTTGTAAATGGAAAACAACATTGGAGAAATCAAATGCAAATAATATTTGAAGATTAAAGTGAAGGGTGATGGGAAGGAGTATCACAAATATGAGAAATTTTAATTTTTCCCAGTAGAGTAATGCAAAATACTTGAATGTCTAGTTGCAGTACTGGTAAAATAATATACATTATTTTTTATCTCTAATATTCCTGCATGGAAACTGTACAGTGGTTAACCCTAAATCATAACAAGTAGATCAAGACAATCCCATCATTTTTCAGTTTGTTTCTACAGCACTAAGCCTGACAGAGTTCAAGAGCATTTAGACAATGCTCTCAGGCACAGGATGTGACTCTTGGGAGTGGTGCTGTGCAGGGCCAGGAGTTGGACTTGATGATCCTTGTGTCTGTCCCTCTTCCAATTCAGCTTATTCTATCATCTGCTTTGTGATTTTAGTGTGACACAGTCCCTTTTGTTTGACAATAGAATTTTTTTCCATTTTTCTGCAAAGCAAATAGACATCTGGAGCAAGAACATAAAACATAGATTAGGAAGCCCCAGCAATTACTGTCTTGTGGGCTATTATGTTAAAAAGTTGAAATTCACTGTGTAGGTGAAAGTGGTGACTTTGGATTCTCACTCAGGTGGTGGTTGTAGATTTTGGGCTTTTTTGCTTTGTTGGGTTTTTTAATTTGGATTGGGTTTTTTGGGTGAATATAGGGTTAAAATGTAGCCAAGTGCATGTAACTGAAGATAATCCTTTCTTTATATACCTCCACCTTTTCAAAGTACGTACCAGTGGAAAACTAAATTTTTCATCTGATTAGCAAAGTATGAATCTCATATTGTGCATATTCTAATTTTATTACAAAAAGAAATAGCATTATGTGATCAAAATCTGGTGTTTGTGATCACAGGAGTAGGGACCAAAAAACATGTCCTGTTCCTTTAAGGCTCAGCTAAAATTCTATATATGAACGTACTCTTTTATGATGTGACTAATGATGATATCCTTGTTTGTGGTCTAAGATCAGGTGCTTCAAGTCTATCTTCACAAAGAGTTGAAAAATAAGTATATATGTTTTGTAGTTCCATGGTTGAATTGAGGGAACATCTTTGGGTACAAGAAAAATCTCATGCTGAGCGTCTTGTGTTGTAGTACAGATTATTGGGCATTGCTTCTCAGTATATTCATATACTGCCTGCGGGTATTGACCTAGTTTTCCAAAATAGTGTCCAATACTATGTGGAAGCACTTGTTCTGCTGCTAACAGAGACATGAATTTCAGAGTATCACAGCCAGTGAGTGTTGGTCATAAACATTACGTTTTCACAGTGTTTTTGCAAAAGCTTGTATAGCTGGAAGCTTGTATAGCTGTTGCATTGATATTTTTAAGTTTTGTCATCAGACTTCAAATACATGATCTTGTAGTAATATAAAAGTGAAATCTGTGCTACAGTGCAACCAGGAAAACATGAAGTTAGACTCTTTATAAGTCTGTAAGCAGTAAATATTTTATATAGTTTTACAGTGTTATAGATTAAGCTTACTGGTTGGTTGCTGTTTTGACTTTTCTTGTTATGTTGACAGGGTTGCTTTAGACACACTTGCTGCATTGCTAAAATCAAGTAAGTGTTTGACTACTAGAAAATGTCTACTTGAGCTATAATGTGTGTGTGTGTATATATGGACACAGTAAAACTAAGCATTAAGTTGGTAGCCAAAACAAAAATAAGGATAGGAAACCTATAAATAAGTTTATTCTGCAGTTTCTGATGCTTTATTTATGTTGTATATACATGAATGTTTAATACTTGGTTAGCGTTTTGTCAGTTATGCAGCAGAAAGGCTGCACTGCTTCTGCAGAACTGATCTAGGTCCAAGGTAGACAGATATCTTTTTACATTCACTCACCTCAGCCATTCAGTAATAGATGTCTATAGCTTAACTCCTGTGCCTCTTTTTTACACATACATCTGAAGGATGCCTGGGGAAAATACAGGTATTCTTCAGTACCTTCCTGAATAATTAGGACTTGGGTCCCAATAACAAATCTGTCAGTGACACATGAAATGGAATTAAAGGTAACAAAACCAATGGTGTGTTTCCAGACATGGACTGTCTCAGCCAGCAGCAATTGATCCTCACAATGTCATCTTTGCAGATTTTGAACCAGCATTGTAACTAGCAAGGAATTAAAAACTCATTTTCTCCAAATAGTTGTGTTAAAGCGACAGCATTTGTAGTAGTTTCAGTGGAGTTGAATAAGAATTGAGATGCGATGAGATTTGCAGAAAACCATTTCACACAAATGGTGAGAAATTTCTGTACCGACTATCACAGAGTTTGTTAATGTTTATTCAGTGTGATACCTTTGTCTTACAGTTTGTGTGTTTATGAATTTTGCAATTTCTCCTTGGGAGGCTTAGGAAAAGAAATATTTCCAAATTGTTGTCAGTATTCCATTCTGTAAATTGGCAGTTAAACTTTAATATTGAGGAGGAAAATGAGGTGTTCCAAAGGTGTGTCTTTAAAACAGGAGGTCTTGTTAATTTATTTAGGGATATCTTCTTCTTAGTGGTTGCAACTTGTAACTTCATATACTTTATATAATTAAATATTTTCATAACAACATTAGTCTACTATATGTATATATTCCAGCTGTCATACTGATTACCCAGTATTTGGGGTAGAATTATTTTCAGCTTATGAAATTTCAGTGATAGATGTAAAACTATATGGATTGCAAGTGAAAAAAAGTTTGTTTCAGATCTTATATCTGGACAGTGTGTGTAGATAGTGACAGATATGCTTTGTAGAAATATTTTTGGTTTTTAATTTACTGGGTGACAGCATCTTACAATTGTCTTTTAAGTGTAATGCATGTCGTTCTTCTAGTGCACCATGAAAATTATGTCAAATGTTCCAAGAATGAGTTTTAGGCTACTGGTCTTAATTTTCCAGTAATTTCCAGTTTAGGTTGATGTAAAACTCTGCGAAGGGTGGCTAAAATACTACTCAAACTGAAACAATTCAGTTACTTGGATAACAAGAATAATTTAAACATTGAAAGTAAAATTTGAAAGTAATATCAAAGTCACTGGGCCATTTTAATTTTCTTTCCTAACTTTTTTTTGCAAAGAAACAAATGCCAGGAGAGCAGTAGACAGAGGATATGTGCAGGCACTTATAACGATTTATGTTGATTGGCACCGTCACGACAATCGACACAGATACATGCTGATACGTAAAGGAGTGTTACAGTGCATTAAAAGTGTTACAAACATCAAACTGGGAAGAAAGGCATTTCTTGATGCCAATGGGATGAAAATTCTTTACAACACTTCACAGGTAAATTTATCCTGATAGGGGTTTTTTTTGTTGTTTTTGCCTTTTTGGCTATGACCTCAAGTTTGTCATATCTCTTAAGAGATTGATGGTCATTCCTGATTATGGGAATAAGGATTATATTCTGTACCCCACTGAAACATTGAAAGAGTGTAGAATTAAATTTGTATTTGTTGTCATTTTGCTGTGGCTATCTCTGGGAGGGGCTGTAGAATTTAGTTTTAAAAAAGCGGGGGTGAAAATGCCTTTCTGTGGTGAAGTTTGGATTTTTATAGAAGATGAATTCGAGTTGGTAGAAGTTTTTCTGTCCTTTAAAGACGACATGAGCCAATTTTTTTGTAAATAGTATATAAATGCAGATTGACTTTTAATTTGAGAAATACTTTTCTTTATTTTCCTGTTAACAGGAGTGCCTTGCTGTAAGAACTCTTGATCCTCTTGTCAATACATCCAGTCTAATAATGAGAAAATGTTTTCCCAAAAATCGTCTTCCTTTACCAACTATTAAAAGTGCTTTCCATTTCCAACTCCCAGTTATTCCTGCCAGTGGTCCTGTGGCTCAGTTGTACAATTTGCCTCCTGATGGTACGGTGATTTTGTAGTACTTTGTCTTTGAGTATGTCTAATTTTGCTTTATGGAAAGTGGAATCAATTGCACTTACTTGTGTTCTCTGCTAAAAGGACTCTGAGACACTTCTCAATGAGCAAAGGGTCTGTGACTATTGATGTGAAGCACCAATTTCTAATGTTAAGTTTAAAGTGATAGACATTTTGTCCAGACACATGTGGTTATAAAATAAAAGAGGAAACAAGGACTAAAAGAGGTTCACCAAACTCTGAAGTGTAAAGAACAGGCTGTATTCAAACTTAAATGGTCTTTTCTTTCAACTCATGCAGTGTATACATTCTCCTATATGGAATGTGTTGTAGTGTATGTCCTGTCTTACAGGAGCTTGTATCCCTTCCTTTCTTTTTGTTATTTTGATAAGTTAGGATGTGACAAATTTAGATTAACGTTTGCCATTTGAAGCACTGGCTTTTATATGTTATTGTGGTTATTCCTTCAATTGCATGATAAGAAAGTAGAGCTGCTTTCTTGGACTGTTGCAGTCTCTTGGAAAACACTGTACTGCAAAGCATTTCTATGGTTCTTTGTAGAAAATTGATTCATTCCATTGTGAACACCTTTCATTATTTTCAGGTAATTAATACATATTCCAATAAGGTATACTATCCAACCCAGTAAGCAACTAATGAAGTTGCTATCAGAAAGTTAATCTGAAATGAAGGGTCAAAGTCAGCTTATTAATATCTTTTATTCATGATATCTCCAGAAACAAAATGTAATCATAGTCTGAAAGTAAGCTATCCTATTGGGGTTCATGGGGGTCAGACTCCAGTAGTTCAAAGATTGTTTATGTTTTGTCTTCAAAGGAGAAAATAGATTGAGAAGTGTGTTTCAAAACCCACAGAAATTAAGTCTCTGCTTAATACAGTAGATTGGTACTGTATAATGCCTGTTTAAAAATGTCCTAGTTTACTAAAGGGAGGTAATGATATGATTTTTTAATAGGTTTTTTACCTGTTATAAAAAGAAGTGAAAAACCTAAAGGAAATAGGATACATAGTGCTTTGAAAGGAAGAAGTTCTATATTAAAAGGCATGTGGAATGTTGCGGGGTGGTAGAGGTCTGGGTTTGTTAAAAGTATAATCTTATATAGTCAGTATTGTAAAAGCAGTACATGTAGTCATTCTGAGTACACTAAAAATCAGCATAATTTGTAAACCTCTGAATGAGCCTTTAAATGACAAGCAGCAAATTTTCTTCATGGAAAACACTATGAGAAAACTTAACTGCCCCAGCAGTAATTTACTAGTTGGTTTTCACATTTTTTTTAAGGAGTACCTGAAAAAGAAAATAAACCCGGAACATCAAAAATCTTCTTTGAGCATGTATAGTTGGATTAAATGTATAATCTGCCTTTCAAAACCTTTTTGTATTATAGTGGATGATGTAGTAGATGAAAGTGATGATAACGATGATGCTGAAACAGAATCAGAAATTGAAACTGAAATTGATGATGACAAGGACCAACATTATAAGGTTGGTAGAGACAAAATGAATAGGCAAAAGTCAGGTATAGCGATTTTTTTATTTAAGTTGCTTGAATCTGATGAATAAGTGCATTTTAAATGTTAGAAGCAGTTTGAGGAGGTTTTCAGGGCAATTTCTAAAATTAAAAAAGCTTCAGAAACTTAAAGAAGGTGGGTGCTGCTTAAAAATATCAACCAGTCTTGTTCAGATTGCGTCAAGATTTTTGTCAAAATTTGTTTGCTTCACACGTGATGTATCTGGAGTGCAGTGGAGCAGAACCACAGACTCCTTTATCAGTGTTCTCTTCCCAACTTAAACTTCTCTCAGCCTGCTTTTCTCACTTAAGCTGGTCCACATGTAGGAGCTGCTCTAACCTTTTCCAGAATTCTGGACTGGGATTGACTGGATCAGTGTTTCAGCAAGGTAGCCGAAGTTCAGCCAGCTGTAGAGGTAGACATCATACCTCTAACTGTTTTACCACTTAGGGAAGATATTCTCGTGTTCTCTAGCTGCCATCTGGGACATGGATGAGTATTTAGTCAGAACTGCCTTATTCTGTATTTTTATGTTATGTGTAGTTAGGAGTTAATAGAATTGTCAGTACATGAACTAGAAAAACATATTATATTCAAGGATCTCATGAGCCCTGATGGAGGGAGTATCTTCCATAGAAGCAGTATTGCTTTGTCACTGCAATCAGATGAAATCTTCACATTCCAAGTTCTGTACTGGGAATATACACAGATTTCATGTAAAATCTGCTATCTGTGTATAATAAGTTTGAATGAATGCAAGAAAATTGAGATGTTTGTAATATTGCTGTTGAAATGGAGGCTTAGGCATACTAATAATACTGAGCAGCCTAAATCTTCATCTAAGTCTGCAGTTCAGCTGCTTTTAAAATAGTGGTATTTTATCTTTTAAAGCATGGCTGTCAAGAGTAAAGGTGAATGTTTCAGATTAATGTTTTAGAACATCATTAATTTTGGATGCAAGATTAATTTGTTCTGGTGATCTTTCAGAATGATGATATTGAGACTGATATTAATAAACTGAAACCTAGACAGGAACTGGGAAGATCCATAGAAGAACTGAAAATGTATGAGCAATTTTTCCCAGAACTTTCAGAAAACTTTCAGGTAAAGTATATTTTTCCCAGGACATTTCTGGCCATGTCAGGTTGACTCTGGAATATACTTTGATGTTCTTTTTTGGGTGGATAGTTCCTCTAGCCAAGAATCAGGGGTCTGCAGTTCTGGACCTACATATGGGAGCACTTTATCGTAGGTTATTTAGTTAGGTGTTATGGTTGCTTCAGTCTTACTGAGAAGGGGGTACTGTGGGTAGCTGTAAAGGAAAACTGTTTTCTTTCTGATGTCTGATTATTGTATACAGCAAAAAATAAAATAGAGAAGAAGGATGTGAGATTTCTGAGAGTGCTTAATTGTATTAGACATCTCCTCAAATGCTGTACACCTACTAAAAATAAGTAGTTAAAATATCCAGGCAATTGCATTGACTTTATACTTTGTTTTTAATGAACTGCTTGTTATTGCTTTAAGGCCTTTTTGTAAAAGACAAACTTCATTGCTCTGATGCCTTATAACAGCTGTCACCTTTTAAATTACATTTAAAACAAGGAAAGACAAGTGTTTCTAATATACATGAAACTTGGGAACTGTTTATTTTTTTTGTTAATAATTTCTTAAATTTTTTTTTCACCTTTGTTTTTTAAGGAATGGGACTTAGTTTCCAAGGAACCAAAGCCTTTTGTACCTGATGCAAATTTGAGTGGACCTATTGTTGTTCCTACAGCCAGTGAGGAGCACTCTGCTGAAGCAAACCCATCAACAAAAGGAGTTGCTTTAAAGGAGTGCAGTCCTTTATTGACAGAGGACTACAATAGAAGGCCAGTGTTTCTGGAACTACCAAAGAAAGATAACATGAAAGGCGGTAGTTTACATCAGCAAAATGATCAAAGAAACATGCTTCCATCATGCCAGTGTCTAAGCCAAGAAATTGTGAAAGGCTTGGACAGAATCAGTCTCCAGAACAGTGCAAAAAATGATCAATATTATGGTACAGGGTGTGTACTAGAGAAGGAAAGCAAAGCTGGCATTACCACACTTGCTTCTAGTAAACCCTGTGAGCATGTTTCACCCTGTGGAGGTAGTCTCTTTGAAGGATCATCTGTCCAGCTGGGAAAACTCTGCTGCACTGGGGTGGATTCAGAGGAGGAGGAGGATTCCAGATCTAGTTCATCAGGAGAACATGCCACGCTTCAAGTTTCTGATGTATCACCAGTTCATGACTGTGATCTTTATCTTGAAATGGTGAAGAACACAAAATCTATTCCGGAATACTCAGAAGTGGCCTATCCAGATTATTTTGGCCATATTCCACCCCCATTTAAGGAACCTATTCTGGAAAGGCGATATGGAGTGCAGAGGTGAGTTACCAGACACCTTTTTTTGTTGTTTTTTTCATTCCTTTGAGAAGCAGTGTTTAGGATGAGGTTAACCGGATGATGTCCAGAGGTCCCACCCAGCCCTAGCTATGGCTGTGATTAACAATCAATGTTACACTGTTTACTTGGGCATCTAAAACTGTTTCCAGTGAAAAGCAGTTTGAAGGTAGGTGAGTATGCTTTGATCAGCGCAGAGCCATAAAGAGGAACACAGTCTGGTTCTGTAATTGCTAATTCTGGAATTCAGTTTCTAAATATGAAATTCAGTTTATATTTTCCCATTCTGCCTTCCCCTCATTTCCCATGTGAATCTTGTAGTTTGCAAAATAACAAACCAACCTACAAAGCCCACCAGGAACCAAACTAAAAAATCCTCACCTGAGTGCTCCTTTCAGCTGTTAGCAAAGATAAGGCAGTTAATAACTAAAAAGTTTCTTCACCGCTTTTCTCTGCTGAACTAAAAATCTGTCTTTCAGGGAAACATAGTGGAAATAGTTAAAAAATTAATACATTAAAGTGTTTTGCTTTAGTATTCAGAGTATAAGAGAATTTAGACTTAACAAATGCAGAAGATCCACTTTGTGTTAGGTGCTGCAGAATGACATACAACAAAAATGTATCAACACACCCTTTTATTTCTTCACTGAGAGATAATAGAAGATGATGAAGAGTGATGGTATTTTTCAGAATGATTTGCAAAAATGCTATGAAAAGCTGGCTAATATTACATAGTGAGTTACTGTAAAGACATGTGAGTACACTAGCAGAACACATAGAGCTATGAGACCTTGCCACTTGCCTAAAAAATTATGGGACTGAATGCCTTCACCTTTATACTCATAACTATAACCAACTTAATGAGTTTCTTTGTATTTATATTTAGATATTAAAATGATTAAGAGATTAAGTGTCCTTAGCTGGTTGAATGAAAATCCTTCAGCTGTTTCACACAAGTAATGAAAAAGTGATCTTTGTAGTGAAATAACAAGTGCTGGAACACTAATGCCAAAATGAACATATTATACAGTGTTGAAGGAGGAGAATCTTCCCTAGCAGGTTATTTATTGGCTAGATTCAGCTGATTTAGAAGGGAGATAGTCTAGAGTCAGGAATCACCTAAGAACTGCATTTAAGCAAATCTTGGAAATCCTTATGTATGTTTTTGTAGTAATTAATAATTCTGAATTTCCCTGAATAAAAAAATTGAGTGAAGTGAGATACAATTTGTCTCATTGTTAGATATATAACACTGGAAAAATAAGCCTTGTACAAAATCATCCACAAGGGTGATTTCTAGATCATGAAGATAATTTTAGGGTATATTTTAACTTGAAATGTTCTATTTTTGTTGTATTTTTTATGTTGAAAGGAACTTTTTGGGTTCTTGTGGGAACAAGAATGAAATACCAGGTAATATGGCTAAACTTGGATCAAAAATCATGCAACACATTTTTAAGGAAAACTGTTTTAAGAATTCCATTTTCTACAAACAACTCAATCTTGTTGCTGCAACGTAAAAATCTTCTGATAACTTTTTTAAAAAGGGCATAATCTTTTCATGCTTTCATAGTTTATAGCAGATTGTAAAAATTGTTTGGTAGGGGACATGGAAAAGCTTTAAAGTCTTTTACAAAGCTGTGTCCTAACTCTTGATATTCAGTGTGATTTATGTTCTCTGTCACGTAAGCACTTAGTTACTGCTCATTGGGTATGTCTTACTTAGAAAATAAATGGTTGCTTTAATCCATCCATGTAATTTGAGAAAATATTGTGTGGGGTCTAAGGTGTGACCTAATGGATTTTCTTCTTATTTTTATTAGAACAATGTAAGATTTAGGGGTTTTTTTAGTCTTGAAATGTGCCAGGAGATTAAATGTTTTTGAATTTGTGCTTTGGAGTGCTTTTTCTTTCTCTTTTAAATTTAGTAGTATGTAACTATCATGTATTACTGTTAGGATAAATGATATTGATTATAATTGAAGTGTTTTATACTACTCTATCTTTTTAGGAAGAAAATTATTATATAGCAAAATACTCTATAAATTTGGGCATTTCTATTCCTTAAAAATTTAGTTGGGTTGGGGCTTTTTTCCATACACTTTAGTGTTTTCTAATCATCAGGATCCACAAAGGAGTAGTCTCTAAGCACAGGGCTCATATCAACAATGTTGGTTCTAGATTTCTTTTTCCTTGAATTTTCTTTAAATAGTTTGTCTTCATTTTTTGGAACGTGAAAATGTCTGCTATTACTTCTCATTCTCATGAGCATCTTGAATACATTCTCATGAGCATCTTCTTTGCTTTCATCTACACTGGTAATTATAATGGTATTTAAATGATGTTATTATTTATAAAATACTTACAATGGATTTTCATTGATGGATTTTGTCTTGGCAAAACTCCTGTGATATTAGGAAGTGTTAGGGCATTTTAGAGCTGAGGCATGCCAAGATCGAGCGAGTTTTCTAAGATCAAGTGTAAGGTTAAAAATATGTAATTCTGTCCTGAGCTGAACCTATTCAGATGGATTCTGGTGAGTCAGCCTTGTCACAATATTGTCAGTTGAACTTGAACTTGTGACTTCTTTTCTTTTTCAGTTAATTTCAATTTAATACAATGTGCTAGAGTTGTGCACTTATCTTCTGTTTCTCATTTGTTAAGAGTATGTATTTTAATTAAATTTAGAATTTCCAGCCTGAATGTACTTTACCATTCTGTTTCTGTATTCTTCATTGTTAATCTACCTCCTTTTCTTCTTATTGCAGGTGCTGTGCAAGCTTTTCCACACAGCTCTGCCACTATTTTTCATGCTTCAACTGCAGCACATTCTTGCTTTTCCAAGCCAGGACCTAGATACTGCCAGTTGTGCAATGGTTTTATGATCTGGATAAGCACACACCTGACATTTGGCTGGCATCACCAAATTCTTTCTTATTTGTTACGTAGTCGATAAATGAACCTAGATCTCCAGAGGTGAAAAGCTAGTTCACTAACACACTCACTGTATGAGCTATTCCCTAAAACTCTTTAATTTTGGTTATGGTAGGATTCATTTAAGTTACTAATGTTATCAAGTGTTGTCATGTGTTAAAGCATTAACCTAAGTAATGTTTGAGTAATTTCTGCTTCTATTAGAAAGTATGAAACTGCAATTTTTCCTTCAGATAAAACCCAGTGAGCTGTGTGAATGAAAACTCAGGTCCCTCAGATACAAATACTGGATTCAGGCAACTCTGAATGCAGGTGTTTAAACTTAAGTACACCTTGACTATGCACACATAAGTGGCGGTGAAGCTGAGGTCTGTCTGAACTGTACCCTGTCTTCATGTCAATTCCATTAGTTTTCCTGTATGAGGCAATTCCTCGTTTGTGATTGGAAACAGCAAACGACAATTTAAGTGAGAACTCTGCTTTTCTTTTTTAGGACAAAAATCTGTCAAGATATTGAAAGGCTGATTTATCAAAATGACATTATAGATAGAGTTGTGTATGACCTTGATAATTCGAGGTAAGTTTCTACCTTTCTGTAAACAATATTCAAGTAATACTCTAATACTCCAGTTCTACTTTGTCTGTGATGTGGCTCATAATATTTACAGCAGATTTCGTACGAAGTTTGATCTGACATAACAGTGCTTTTGCTATCTGGGCTGTATTTGGAGGAAAGATCAAAATAGTTTCTGAATTGACAAGTGAGGACTAAAATAAAGCTATTTGGTTTAGCTAAGTTTGTTTTATTAATTTTGGTCCCTTTTTCTACTCATAGTTTTTCTGTACCAGAGGAGGCAGATGTTCTGAAGTTTAATTCCAAGTTTGAATCTGGAAACCTGCGCAAAGTTATTCAGATCAGAAAGTAAGATCTTTCAACTCTACTTTTCATGGTTTAGACCTTTTATTTCTGCTTTTTATGATCATTGATCTGTTTTTGCTAATTTTCAGAAATGAATATGATCTAATTCTGAACTCGGATATAAATAGCAATCATTATCATCAGTGGTTCTACTTTGAAGTCAGTGGAATGAAAACTGGCATTGGTTACCGGTTTAACATCATCAACTGTGAAAAGTCAAACAGTCAGTTCAACTATGGTAAGATATGTTTCCCATTCTTTGAGAAGAAATATCAAAAAAATACCTCTGGCAGTTACCTCAGCTGTTTCCTTCCCTCCTCCACAGGATTAGTAGTATTCATGTTATCAGTTTAAATTCTTTATTTTAATAGTACTGCTAGAAAATGTTTTGATAGCTGTGATTAAAAAGAAGAAATGCATCTTAAACCAAGGGCTGTCATTTTTTTAAATGATGTTTTGTTGTAAGTGAGTCAAAAGCAGAAGAAATTTACTCGTAGCTGCAACTACAATTGTCTTAGGGACCATTGGGCGGGGAGGACAGCAACAAAGCTTGTTGATTCACTCAGATCAAGAAGAACAACAGTTGTCATCGTTAATCCATTTCTGCATAGGGGTAGATGTGAATGTAAGGGGACACATTCCAAAACAGTTGTGTCTTATTGATGGTAAGGAAAAATAAATCTACTTTGAAATACTGGGGTTGTTAAATGAACATCACTGTCTCTAGTAAGTAGTGTTTGCAGTGTGTGCCTCATTCAAACATTTACAAATGGCTGAAAATACCTTTCTTCCTCTTGTCTGGGAGTGTGTATGTCACTGAGCTGAGTGTGTATGTCACAAAAAACTGTTTATTTTTTCCTGATATATATTCTAAAATTTGTCCTTTAAGAAGGAAGAAATTCCTCCTCCCACCTCGAGCTTCAAAATTTTTTTACCAAATGATATTTTATTCTCCTTTGCTGTACACTTTCCTCCACACTGATAAAGTCACAGAATACCAGGTAGTTTGATCAGTAATAAGATGCTTTTAAGTTACTTATTAATCCTTATCAGTCAGTTTAGATTTTTTTTTATGTTGTGCATATTTAATAATTTCTTCTGATTTTTTCAATACACTGATTGAATCAGTCAGTGTGGTTGGCTAATAATCTAGATTATAAATAAATTATACTCAATTAGTATGTATTTTTTCTCCTCTAACTTCATATTAAGAATTCTAGGTAAGTATACTATCAAAAATAGACTTTGAAGAGTTACTTGTTAAAAAAATTGTCCTGAAATATCAGTTATTTTTCAGTTATTTACATGAATGGATGATAGCATCAATTTTTTGTGTACTCTGTGAAACCTTTTCATAGTGTGAATTGGATGGAGTGGAACTGAATACTGCTTGTAATCTACCTTTCATGCAAACCTCAGCTTTCATTTAAACATTCCATTTTGGTCTTTCACAAGTCTTGCTCTTTTCTTTAGTTGTTATTTTCTGAAAATCAGCAATCTTTTGTCAACTGGTTTAAAAAAGCACACAGTACAATACCCAGACATTAATGAAAATACACTCAGTGAGTGAATAAGTAGAGGTAATTTGTAGACTGGTGTGAAAGTGGTGATGTTAATAAGTTTCTGCTAATAAGTTTCTGTTTAATGGTAAGGATTAAAGTGAGTTGCATTTCTTCTTTCAGGTATGCAGCCCCTCATGTATTCTGTTCAGGAAGCACTACGTTGTCGACCATGTTGGACTCGTGTTGGGACAGATATTTGTTACTACAAGTAAGTACACACACAGACCAAACATACAGCAAATCTTCCACTGAAGATTAACATGAGGTACAATTTTTGAGCAGAAGTTTTTTCTGCATTTGATAGTTCTGTTACTCTGTTGTGAAAAGGGTTTTTCTCCTAAGTCACTACAGAGAGTAATATATGTGATAGAAATATACAAGGTCTCATTTTGTAACCACACCACTTATATTTAAGCTGTTAATATTTTATATTTTTCTTAGAAATTGGACACTGTTTCTGGGAAGCTTTTAAGGGAATGTATATATGTATGCTTACTTGAAATCCTATTAGTAACTTCCAGTAATGCTGGTCTCATGGTCCTTGTGATGAGCCTTGTGTAATCTGTGGTGGAATTAGAGGAGTTCTAAAACACAGGATCAGATGGTGCAGCATATCAATATGTAATCCTTCTTGGTTGGTAGCTCTTTGCTTGCTTACTTTTTCTGATTTTTTGTTTATTTTGTTGCTTGTTTTTGTTTGCTCACCTTTTATCAATGTAAATGAATGTGTGTATCACTGTTACAATAAAGTATCTTTAAAGCTGGTGGGAACCTGTATTTAACCTGTATGTACATAGGAGAGAAATACAGTCACTGAAAGTCCTTCTGACTCTTAGCATGTGTATTCAGAAATAATAAATAGTATGAAAAAAAATTACTCTAATGTGTGTATTACCTTCATTTTTTGATTTAGGAATCACTTTTCAAGAAGTTCAATTGCTGCTGGGGGCCAGAAAGGAAAATCCTATTACACAATTACATTCACTGTGACTTTCCAACACAAAGAAGATGTGTGCTACTTTGCTTACCATTATCCATATACATACTCAACTTTAAAGGTGAGAAGCTGTATCTGTTACATAAATGAATACTTATAATATTAGTATAATATATCACAATAGTGACTGAATTAATTTTGTTTCTTTTTTTTTTTTTGAAGTTCAAAATGCTCCTTTCAAGGGAGAATTTTCATAATATTAGTATTTAGGTTGACAAAATGTATAGGTTGTTCTGATGAACAGTCCCAGGAAAAATAAAATTGATGCTTACAGGCTTAATGGGTTTCCTGGGTATCACAAAGATGATTATATGACTGGAGCATCTCTCTTATGAGGAAAGACCTTGAGCAGAGATGACTGAGAGGGGACCTCTGAAAATATCTGAAGTGGGGTTGTCAAGAGGATGGAGCCAGGCTCTCCTTAGTGGTGCTAAGAACTGGGACCAGAGAGAACTGGCGCACACAGATGCACAGGAAGTTCCACCTGAACATGGGAAGGAATTCCACCACTGTGCAGGTGACCAAGCCCTGGAACAGATTGCAAGGAGAGTTTGGGGTATCTCCATCCCTGGGGATTTCAAGGGATTGTCTGGACACAATCCTGTGCAATGTGCTATAAGATGGCCCTGGCCCTGCTTGAAAGAGGGAGGTTGGACCAGATGGCCCACTCTCATCCCTTTCAACCTTATGCTTTCTTTGATTCTGTAATAATTGACTGGAAGCCATGCTAATTTGATCGAATATTTGTGTTAAATGACTTATATCCTGCTGTTCTACGTATACTTCTTGATAACTAAAGCTGCTGTAACTAAGATAATTAGAGATCTTTTTAGATTTATGAATTGCCTAAATAAGTCTTCTGAGCCTTTTAATACTAAGCAAAATTCATTTGGCTAGAATGTCTCTTGTTTTCCTCTGTTACAGCAATAAAAGTAAAGCAGAGGATTCAGTGGGCAGTATATAGCAGCTTTAATTGCAGCTTTTCACTTTTCACTTTTAAACTATGCCAGCTTTTGAAGAGGTACCTGTTAAGAGCTGTTATAAGCAACTGCTGCTTCCAGCAGCTCCTGGTCCTGGAGGTTCCTCCTGCCCAGCTGGTGGAGGCCAACCAAGGTACCTGGGGTCTCTGTCCCAGGCTGATGGACATGGCTCCTGCTTTCCTGTTTGCTTATATATTCACTAGCAAGTCTGAGTATGTATCCCAGGGAGAGAAAGAGACTTATGCACACATACTTGTGCATGCCTACTCCTGCTGGGCAGGGCTGGCTGCACGGACTGGCACAGACAAGGCACACTCCTGTGTAACACTACAGTGACTTGCACAGCAGGTACAGACACCCCATCCTCCTCTGCAGTTGGTGTGGATTGCTGTTCACTAGAAAAAGTACAAGCTGTCCTACTCTCTAGAATTAGAAATATGTTTGTGGAGCGCTGGCATGGCCCATCTGTGCCATAGCTCTGCCTCAGTCCCAGGTCTCTCTTACCTGCTGTCCCGGCCTCCAGTTTGCAGTCTAGCCCAGCCTGATGCTCACTAGCAAACAGATGCTTGCATTTGCACGCTCATCTCAGAGGCATTCTGCACTTGTGGCCCTGCCCAGATGCCAGCATGGACTGTCTGCCTGCTAGATACCCCTCCCTTGACTGGGGCCCATACTGCCTGGGTAGTTTACCTTGAAGTTTGCTAGCAAGTTTCACGTATGCCGCCACACACCCCGGCTACAGGAAAAATGTTCATGCTTCCCCCCCACCCAATCCCTAGCAACTGTTACCAGGCACGTGGTCATGTAACCCATGTTCATGCTTCAGGTGTTGTCACTGAGAAACTCAACCCTTCTTGTCCCACCAGATGTGTTTTGATGGACACACTGTCCTTGCCTCAGTGGTTGGATACCAACACCTTTACCCATTGCAGTCACTGGCAGTGAGACATTCCCTTGCTTCTTTACTGACACCACTGAGTGAAGAGTGCTTACAGCTCCAGCTGCTGGAGTCTGCTTTGATTCCAGCAGTAGCTGGGACCTGGGACACACAGTCTGTGGTACCCACAGAGATGCTCCCAAGAGGCTGGCTTCTCCAGCTACTGCTGGTGAGACCCTTGTGCATTCCAGCTGTTGACCCCAAATTGACTTACACCTGTCTTTTTAGTTGCACTAGTCCACATAGCAGTTGGATGCACAGGGTAGAGAGTAAGGCTGCGCAGAGATGGCTAAGGGCAGTCTGTAGGAATCAGGTGCTTGAATTTTGTATGGTACCACACCCCCCTCTTGAATGTCCCAAATTACCCCATTCTGCTTGTTTATCAGGCAACTCTCTCCAAGTCTTTGTCTGTAGGTTCTTAATGACCTGTTCAAAGAGAGACTGGTGACTTTGGTCTTTGCTATGGTTTCCATTACATCTCAGCTCTCTGTTCCCATGTATTGATTCTTCCTTTACTTATGACCTCTTTTTGCAGTGAAAAGGTCCCTGATCAGATAACCTTAATGGAGCAGAGGTTCTTACCTTCCATATACCCTTATAGTACCATCTGTGTACAATAATTCACCCTCTTTTCCTTCCTCTTTCTCAAAGCAGTTGGAAAACCAGACTCTGTAAAGAGAAGTATTCAATCAGTCAGAGATGTAGAAAATGGTATTTCATGGTCAAAATTATCCTGGAAATTTGTATATTGTTTAGAACATCTAAAAGAAAGATCTGTTAAATAGTACCTTTGAATATACATATATGCTGTCATATGTGACTGCAAAGAATTTGAAGTATTTTTTCATTATTTTTGGTACGAAGATGCATCTTAGGAAGCTGGAATCTATGCACAACCCTCAACAGATATATTTTCGGCATGATGTTCTCTGTAAGACCCTGGCTGGCAACAACTGTCCATTAGTCACTATTACAGCCATGCCAGAGTCCAATTACTATGAACATATCTATCAGTTCAGTAAGTATAACTCTTCTTTCTTATCAACTGAAAATAATAAAATAAAACTAGGTATTTGTAGAAAAAAAATTAGTCTTAACCACTATGCAGTGTAAAAATAGCAATCTAAAATAAGGTTAATTCATTTTGTAAAGCTGAGAGGCATCAGCATTCAGGATTTGTTTTATATTTAATAATACTTATTTGTGATAGTGAAATAAAGATGTAAATATCTGTAAGAGTAAGAGTATATATAGTGTATATATATGTAAGAGTATATGTGTAGAGTATATATGTATTTTAAATTTTTGCTGCTAGGTTTGTAAATTCCATTTTGCAGACAGCACTTCTTGGAAAAGAATACTGGACAAGTAACTTTTTTCTTAAAATGCTGAGGTTTTTAGCTTGTCAAAAAAATCTGTCATAAAGCTAATATCTAGCTGTTGTGATTTGAAGTGAGCTTTTGCCATTTCCTGATTTATTTGTCACCTCAGTATTTTTCTTGGCTATTGGGAAAAAAGTAATGAAAGTTGAATCGTAACTGCCAGCTCAACTCAGTTGTGTAATTGTCAGATCAAATTTAAAGCTCCATTGTGTAGTTTTGTAATTAGCAGTCCTTTCAAAAATGTTGTGGCAAGCTCTATCAATAATACTCACACCCAGTAACACTCAACTTATAAATGTTTTTTGTGTTGTTATAAATACAGTGGGCTATTGGCTCTTTTTCTAACCAACGAACTGTTTACTTAGCTTAAATTATATTTTGCAATTTCTGTGGATATCTCTTTTAGGGAATCGTCCTTATATATTCCTGTCTGCTCGTGTGCATCCTGGAGAGACTAATGCAAGCTGGGTTATGAAGGGAACACTGGAATACCTTATGAGCAATAGTCCGAATGCACAGTCTTTACGGGAATCTTATATTTTCAAAATTATTCCCATGCTCAATCCAGATGGTGTCATCAATGGAAAGTAAGCATATATTTAATCACAAATATTTAACCTGTACTTTAACTCTTTACATCAATATTTAAAAATAAATAATCTAAGCTGATCCTGCAAAAGTGCAAATGCAATATGTAATGTGATAAAAAAGCAACAGACACTTGCAATATTGCTAGGATTTTTGGCTTCTTAAAAGGCAGTTACATTCCTTGACAAATTTCAATTTTACAAAAATATTTCCAGTTGTTCATGGATGATAATCATTCCTATGCAATTTGACATGAAATTTTTATTGTCGCTCTGTCTTGGATTTCTGTAGGAGTTTTATATGAGATCACACCTGCATTTAGAAAAAGCTAAACAAGTTCATGGTGCACATAAATAAAGGAAGTGCCTTATATTTAAGAAAGTCTTTTACATAATTTTTTTTAAAAGCTGGGAAGTTAATAGGTGTGCAAGAGAGAGGGTAATAGATTATCCTGGTTTGATTGAAGTTATTAATAGTAGTTATTTCAACACTTTTCTCAATAAATTTAAGGGGTATTTCAGAACTTGTTGAAACTGCTATGAGTAAACATTGAGCAGTTTACATTTACTTGGTTGCAGGGAATTCTTGTGAAATGGAAATTTTGCTATGGTGAAATTACAGTTTCCATTCATCTACTATAGGTAGTATTTTAAAAGGTTTTGTGAACAAAATAATAAAAGTAAAACTAATTATAGATTTCAGTAGAATCTTGTCTTTATATATGTGAAAGAATGTATATATTAGAATACTTGTAATTAAATAATTCAGGATACAGGGACAATTAAGAAGGCTGTCCCAGCAGACACAGTCTAAAGGCAAATGTAGTGAAGATGACTGCATGATCATGAAATCCTGCAAGTTTAAAAGTTCTTGCTGATAGCTGACTGAATACAGAGATGATCTTTTTGTTTCCTGGGTTGTTTCAGGTTTTTTTGTCCTTGTTTTTCTCACAGCTCCTTGTCTCCTAACAACTTCACATTTCAAGTATTAGATTTCTAGTTGACATTAGTCTCTAAATTACTGAAGACACCAAATTGTAAAGATACCATATGTATGAAATTACTGATTTTGAACTAGAATTCAGATAGAATTGTAAGCTTTCAGTTTCAACAGCAAATAAGTAATTGCATTTGGCTTCACCTAAGAGGCTACTTCTAATTTATTTTTAGAGTTTCTGTAACATAGTTTAAAACACCCCAACATTTCTATTATTTGGCATGTTAGAAAATTGAAGTTTATTTCTTGCCAGACTCCTTCCAAAGAAGCAGTGTTGATGAGGAAAACTTGAGGTGGGGGGGAGGCTTATTTAAAAGTATGATAATACAGACTACATCATGCGTTTTTCCACCCCCCCACAATAGCCACCGTTGCTCTTTAAGTGGAGAAGATTTAAACAGACAGTGGCAAAATCCAAATCCAGATCTGCATCCCACTATTTACCATGCTAAAGGGTTACTGCAATATCTGGCTGCTATAAAACGTTTGCCTTTGGTAAGTATGTGTGTGTAAGCAATTCTGAATTTTTTTAACTTTGTCTATGTAGCTAGTCTATAAATTAAACATTTTGATATGGTCTTGTAAACCATGTCACACTTAAATTTGACTTGGAGAACTGGTCTTCTGCAAACCTGTAGATGTAAATCTGTTACATTGGCTAGGCTAGAAGGTTAAACCTTCCTTAGATGAATCACTCACTTTTTGTCTTAATGAGAGTTAATTATATAAGGGATTGTGTTGCCTAATTCTTTGGAACATTCTACAGTACTAATAAAAATTGTCTTTCTATTACTTTCTTAAAATTTTGATTCCATATGCCTTGAGTTTATTTTGCCAAATTATTTATTATAGGTCTACTGTGATTATCATGGTCATTCTCGTAAGAAGAATGTATTTATGTATGGCTGCAGCATCAAAGAAACAATGTGGCATACAAATGTTAATGCTGCCTCTTGTGACCTGATGGAAGACCCTGCTTACAGGGTGAGTTTAACCTTTTTTGTACCTTTTATTTGGCATGGGTTTGGAACATGCTTTTCAAATAGCATCCTGATCCTATCCTATGCAAATAATGACTCTGTAGCATAAGCAGACTTATTTAAAATCACCTCTTTTTACTTTGTGAGTGTTCTTCAAAGTACACTTCATGAAGCTTTAAATATTATACATAGAGTGCTTTATTTTTTTTTGTTTCTTTACACCAATATTTACCTTTCTTTGTGTTTAATATTACTTTTATAGAAAATAGATGGAAAATTTGCTTCTGTGCATTTATAATTGCTAGATTAAAAAACAAGTTATTGAGGCATGGCAAAAAATATTCTAGCAACAAGGCAAAAAAACTGGATTGTTCTGAGAGATACTTATTTTTGTCTATGGAAATATGCAAGATACCTTTTTATTTATTCCTTTATATAAAGATGTGTAGTTAAGACATGTGCCCCTAATTAGGTATATATAATAAACTTGCACAAACACATCCTCTGCATTGTATAAGCTTTCAAAAAGGCAAAAAAATTAGAGAATTATGTGGTTCTTGGAGTGTTACCTATTTCTTCTGTGTGTCTCCTTCCATTGCTGCCTCATGGGAACTGCAAACCTGTGTTACCTATAGGTGTGCAGGCTCTGGGTTTTTTTAAAGATTCAGAGTTAAACTTCAAAAGCATGTGAATGCATGTTAAAACACTTGTTTATGCATCCTTGAGTATAGACGCTTTCTGGTTATTTTTTTCTCTTTAAATCTCCCTCACCAAAAAAAAAAATCTATGGCTTCTTGATTTTCTTGTGTGATCTCCTGGATGTTGAGCCAGATGCCAATCATATCTGCTACTCTAACACATGTATGTGGGGTTTTGTCACTTCAGTGTGCACTACTGTAGTGCACAAAAGACAGTAGTCAATAAGGGCTGTTGGAAAAAGCATTTCGTTTTCAAAAAGGTGGACTAAAACATTTGGGCAAGCTTGCACTAATGGGTTATGTATTACTACTGAAATAATAAATTTGAAGCAGTCATGTGTTTTGTCTTAACTGACACAAATAAAACCTGGAAAGAACAGTCATTTACCAATAGTCAAATATGTATATTTGTGTGACCTTTTCACTGAAACTGTCATGTAAATGGAACTGAACTTTGATTCACATGCTTGAAGTGAAATGTGCACCTAGTGCTTTGCTAATACGAATGAATTTTATGTGTTAATAAAATACTGCTTTTGTTAGGTCTGTAAATGGGATTTCTGAGACAATCTGCAGTTGAATTAAATACTTAATGTGGAGTATGTGGTACACTTAATTTGAGCAAACTTAGCTTGGTGTGTTAGGAGGGATGGTGATTAGCTGGAGAATTCTGTATTTAATGTATCCTGTATCCTGATCCTTATTCACATGACTAACAATTTTAGTGACTGAACCTGAAAAAAGGGATTTTAAAAAATAGGAAAAGGCCTGAAGACACTATTACTTGAACACACTGAGTTTTGAAAACTCAAGATGGAGAATTGTTGCTTTCTTATTTTTTTAATGCAAACTGCACCAAGTTTTCTGGTAATGGTTTGTGATTACATGGTCCCTTTTCACCTCCATCCATATGGGAAATAAAAGAATCACTGTTTTTTTTTTTTCAAATTGCTGTCCTGCAGGCACTCCCCAAGATCCTGAGTCACACTGCCCCCGCATTCTGCATGGGCAGCTGCAGCTTTGTAGTGGAAAAGTCCAAGGAATCTACAGCACGAGTTGTTGTCTGGAGAGAGATAGGAGTACAAAGGAGCTACACAATGGAAAGCACATTATGTGGATGTGACCAGGGCAAGTATAAAGTAAGAGGATATATCAGTTATTATTTCTTACTTTTTAATTTCTTCCCTTTTGCATTGGTATCTTCTTCTGTAACCCTGCTTGCTCAATTCTTGCTTGCTTTAGGCTTTTGAAACCTTTCAAGTTCTGGGTAGGCTAATGTTAGGATGAAATGATACAATTTTCAGCTTTGTAGGTTTCATAGCAGTTATGCTTATGGGCTGTTTTAACAAGATTATTATTAATCATTGCTTGTAGCACATGTGTATGCATGCAGTTAAAAAAAACCAGACTATTCTGCCCAACAGATTATTAGGATTGGTTAGTAGTATATGCCAATACTATAATAAAAATTTCCTTTACATATGGCAATTTCAGACTTCACCATGGCAGATCATGGTTCTTCAACAGATATTTAGCAGTGTCCCTTACAGAATTTTCCCATATAGCTGGAAAACAGGCTTACAGATCAAAACACTTTCATACAGGCTTACTAGCCCTACAAATGACACATCATCTCTGAACTCACATAGTTGTGTGGCTTCTTGATGTAAAATTTGTTTTAATTTTCTCTCCTTGGAAAGTGTTAACAGGGCTGCATACCTGAAAACAAAAGGTGACTCTGTTGGTAGTGTCTCACTACAAGACACCATGCATGGAAGGAGTGGATTTCCTCTGCTTGAAAGTTGAGTTTAGGCATGCTAATCAAGAAGATGACCACAAGCCTCAAATAAGGTGCTTGACAGAAAGAGGATCAGAAGGCTGAGTGGGACAGAAACAAAAAAAAGAGTTGAACAAGATATATTTAGTATGTTAATGTATGCTCCAACATCTGTGCTTATATCCCTGTAGAGTAGGAAGGCAGATGTTTTGTTGAGAATTTCAGTAGGCCTGTTAGCACTACTTTTTGTCAATTAACAACAGATGCATTCCTGCTGTTTTCAGAATATTCCTCAGATGATAAAGCTCATTACAGACCTTTAAAAAAAGATAACTCACCCACCCAATTTGCTTATTTTGAAATTTTGAAAATATTCTTAGACATGGACCTGCATGGCTTTAGCAGTGTTGCTACAGGAAGTACTTAAGAAAAGTGAATTGAAGATGCTTTGTGGACAAACTTTCAAGATGCTTAAACCTCCAAAGCTATTCATCAGTAAGGAAAGAAAAAATGGCTGAATTTTGTGGAAGAATCATTTACTCAAGAGAAGAGCATTCTTTTATGTCATATAAACTTACTGATGAGACTAAATTACTCTTCTGCCATTCATTTTATGGAGTAAAGCAATTTGTAAGCTCTTAGTCATGCTCTGAATATACAGGAAGATTCTTAATTTTTTCTTCACTATGATAATGCTCAGACTTATTAAGAAAATATATCTGAAAAGTCAAGGTGACTGGACTTATCAAAGAGCTGCATTTCTCCAGTAAGAAGATGAAAAAGATGAAAAGGCTTAAGCCCGAGGTTTTTGTGGGGGCTTTTGTTGTGTTGTTTGGGTTTTTTTTAGGTTTATTTGAGATTTATTTTGTGGAAGGAGTAGGGCCAGTAAGTCTGTCAATACGGTTGCAGTATAAATTAGATTACATATGTCAAAATATGTTATTTCAAAACAGAGAGAAGCTGAACTATAGAAATTCCCTTCCCTCCTACTTCCCATCCTAAAGGACATGAAAGAGTTCAGATCTGAGGGACGGAAACATAAAGGTCTGAAACGCTTTGCAGTCTTATTCTGGTTTGGCATCCTTGCTGAATTTTGTTCAAAGCATGAAAAGGATTACTTAACAATTTGGTTCTTTGTGGAAGAAATACTGAGTCTTTGCCAAGATGAACATAATTTTTCTTTTTATTCTAATTTATTTTATTTGGACAATGATGAATCTAGACTATTTCCAGCCAGGAAGCTGTTGAGCTGAAGTTAGCTAGTCTTACGTCTATTTAGGATCTCTGGTGTTAGAGTTGGCTCTGGAAGTAAATTTTTTTGAGCTGATCATATGGAATCTTTGTAGTCTGTTGACAGTAAGTGCTGCAAATATAGGTCAGTCATCTGTGATTCAGGATATGGAAAAACAAACTTTCAGGTGAAAGAATTCTCCAGGATCTACTATGGAGCATAATTTAGATGCCAGACAAAAGAACAATGTCTTCAATGATTCAAGCCACTTTGCTGATTGAAGATTAAGACATTTGAAAGTACTGCTTGACTTTTAAGTTAAGTGAAAAGATTTTGTTATCTGGCAATCTTACAACGCTCATAAAGAGAAGACTTCAGGAAATAAGGATTTGGTTAAAAAATTTCTCAGTAACTAAGATTTTTCAGTCTTTAGAATTTGAGTTCTCAGAAATGATTATGTCTTTGTAACCTCTGCTGAATAAGAAATCAGAAGATCTACATGATATTTTACTGACCAATTGACTTATACGAATCTTTATATGTCTGTTTTCCTTTTATTACGTAGGTATTATAGGAATATTCTTCTCCATTGAGGTCATAGTCTGCTGTGCCTTTGTTTTTTATCTTTGCTTTCAAGTGGCAAAATTTAATCACTGAGATACTCTATTGATATGAAGGTACCTTCATGACATGCTTAGTAAGGAAGACTTCAACCCTCCATCTAAAATTTTACTGTCTAGAAGAAAGATAGTTGTATAAGATTTAGAGAAAAAAGAAATTAAATTTAGTTTAAAAAAAAGAAGCTATGATGCGGTGGCTTGAGCTTAAAAGCAATGCCTGTAGTGCATAAGTAGCTTAGCCTCAGTTAAAGGTACTAGAACAACAGTTGAAGATCATTAGAAGATAAAGAAAACAGTGCAATCAAGGCTTCAGTGAAAATGAAGTTGACCTCAGGTCCCTTAGTAAGGGCAACTGATGGTGGTCATGGTGACTTCCTGAACCAGACTTTGGATCTTGTTTCTGGGAAATGAAGAGGTTTGGCTGATGGAAGAATCTATTAGGAAATTTGGTACTTGGCATTTGTGTGATATTACATTCTCCCTTATGATTAAAAGAAATTAAAGAAGCAAAGCAAGATTTGGCATGAGGCTTTTACCACAATTGTGTAGACCCTTCAGTGTAATAAGTTCAAAATTTATCCTTCTGGTGTTGCCCAGTTATCCACCTCCAATCTGCTCCATTTAGGTTTCTCTTTAGTTACATCCTCTTTCTGCTGTGCTAAAAATAGCAGCCACAGAACATGCACACGCTATTTATCTTTATAACAATTGTCTTTGCACTTTTCTTCATGCTGTACTCTTGTCCTTTTTCAACTTAGAGACACTCTGTTAGACATACCTTGTCTATAAGGAACCTGCCAACTAATGATAAATTCTTCAGCAACAAATGCAGTCAATAACTGGAAAAGTTTCTGAACCATCAAGTTGTGCACATTAGTAACCTGTGTAACAGTGAGATTACTGTTACCTTTCCCCTTCCTCTTCTACATACTTTGTTGCCTCTTGACCTTAATGTTATTTTAATCTCTTTGGGGCAGGGACTGTGTCTTCCTGTGATTAGCGTAGTGGAGCCCCAGCTATGATTGGGGTCTTCGAAAGTTAATGATGTGCAAACAAATACAAAACAAAGCCAAAAAATTGGTCTCTGTGGATAAGGTACTGCACTGAGTGAGGAGAACTGATTTCTGTTCCCAGCGGGGTCAGTGACATGCTGTGAGACACTGTGCAAATCGCTTCAACCCTCTCTGCCTCCATTTCTCCATCAGTACAGTGAGGATAATTCTTCCTTTATTAATAAGTGCTTTGAAACCTACAGCACAAAAGCATTATAAAAGAGGTAAGTAGTATTACTATTAAGAATAATACTCAACTCTTCAACTCTTGTTCACTGCTAACAGGTTTCAGTACCATTTGGCTGGAGGATGGCACTGTTCAGAATCATGGATATAGATTTATCTTTCTTGTTACTAAAAAGCACCTTGTTTATGAGTACTATCAAGGAAAAAAAAACTCAGAAGAAAAATCAAACTTTTCTTCTATTAAGTATGTTCAAAACAGCACATGGAGAATGTATGGGCTGTACCATTTCTGGAGCAACATACTTTCTTTTAAGCCTTGCATTTTAAAATGCAGTGTCAGTGTGGCAACATATACAAAGCTTGTGTGTTTTTTCCTTGGCTTTTGGTAAAAAGATTCCTGCTTCATTCTTTTGCTTTATGCTTCTTTCATACTTGATGACTTAGCTTACCACCAATTCCTGGCTCCTCTGTTTCCCTTTTGTATTGTCAAAGCTTCTTTTTAACTATTCTGTATGTTAAGGGGTTGAGAAGATCCAAGCTAAAGTCTTTTTAGATTCTCCAGAGATACAGAAATTGCAAAGGGGGAAATTGAGTAGAGTTCTGCCACTGAATTTGTTAGTGTATATACAGTTAGTACTAGCCAATTACATAACTCTTGAGGCTCAGTCTAGATTACACTCCTTTTATAAAGTAGTTGAGGTCAGAAGTTATGTCCCTATATACTGCACTTCTGGCTAAATTAAAAATGTAGAATTACCTGATGGGAGGATTTATTAGATATGTAAACTTGGAGAGCATTACATAAATTCTACCTTCTAAATAGTCTTTGCAGAGGAAAATGCCTGACTATGTAATTCAAATTAGAAAAGAGCTATAGCTTTTGAGAACTTGCTTGTTAGTTTTAATTACTAAATAAGTGAATAAATGCTTTCAGAATTAACACATGTAGCCTCTAACTTATAGGTGGGAAAGAGACATCTGTCTCATGGAGTAACTGCTGCCTTAGGTACTCTTACCTATGTGTCAAAACATAGCAATGAATTTGATCACAGCTATGATATTAATTTTCTTCTTTTTAAAATTCTGTTTGATGAAATTTATATTGAGGAATCTTGTATTTCAAATTCTTATTTTAAAATAATTTATTCGTATGAACCTAGACATTATCTCTGCCTCTTTTCCAATATTACTGGGAAAAGATTTGTTAATTTTGGGGTGCTAGAAGTGTAGACTAGGAAGCTCCCAAAAAGGTCTGTTCAGCCTTGAAGGAATCATGTAGGTGTTCCTGAGTCTTCTCTGATACTCTAAGTGTTTATTCTACAAATTTGATTTGTTCTGTCTTTAAAAGCAAGAGAATATATTAAATAAAGTAAGAAAATATTAACCTAAAGAGCTATTCTGCAGTATGTGTGTGTCAATCTGCCTGTACCTATTTTGTATTTTTAAATCTTATTTTCAAATTAGGGATTGCAGATAGGTACAAGAGAACTGGAGGAGATGGGAGCAAAGTTCTGTGTTGGCTTGCTGCGTTTAAAAAGAATGTCCTCACCATTGGAATACAACCTGCCTTCTAATCTGTTGGATATTGAAAATGAGCTAATTGAGTCAAGCTGTAAAGTGACAAGGTAGTACACTTTTATTATATTCTCTTTTTCTTTTGGGAAAAAAAATGCTGTTTCTCAAGTGGTGTAAAGATTCTTTCCACCATGTTCTTCCACTTATCAAAAACAATGCGGATGTGTTGTGACGTTACTGTAACAATAATCTGAATATGTTGGAGACCTATTGTGTTAATTCAGTTGCTTCAATGTTTGAAAGAAAACAATACAGACAATTAGACTATATTTCACATTTGCAGATGGGATAAACACTAGCAATTTTAATGTCATTTGATAGTTATTGCAGGCCATAAAATTCAGTAGTAGATCTTAGGTCTCAATTGTCTCTTTCAAAGTGGGTTTGTTTTTGTTTGTTTTTTTTTTTTTTGTTTTGTTTTGTTTTTTGATTTGCTGTGGTATTAAAAATGTGTTTAAACAGACCTAAAGTATGTGAAGTAAAGCAGTAAGAACTGTAAGTATTTTTTCCTAACTTTATTTTTCTTATTTCTCCTCTGGTGGAGACATAATGAGACTTGAAGAATTTAAAATACATGAAATAGTTTGGGTCACTAAAGAAATTTGTATGCTCAGTAACCAGGTTACTAAGTTGCCGGTTCTTAAAGCTGTAGATAGGCTTGAAAATGTATGCATATGTTGCATTTTGCCATTCATGTAATTCATCACTGTAGTATCCCCATGTACATGGTAAATAAGGATGGACAGCCAATAAGTGATTTTGAATGTACAAACATATTTTTCTGAAAATGTTGTTGACAGACTAATAAAGCTGAATTCCAGACTTGGAAAAAAAAATCATTGGAAAGGAGTAAGATTTACATGATATATTATTTCTATGAATTGTTTTCTGTAGCTCCAGTTTACCTAAGGCAATGGAGTGGAAATTTGGGGAAAAATGAAATTTGTTACTGCTTTTGGACAGCTGAAACAAGGAAGTACTTGACAGTAAGACTTATATTGGATGTAAGATTAATAAGCAATTTGTAGAACATGGGAACCTACCAGAGCTATGGGAGGGCATCTGTGACACCCTATGACAGGGAAATAATGTTTGTTTTCCTCATTCAGACCCATCTGTGTTCCTGGAATGTTGAGTATTGACAGAAATTGGAGTTTGTTCATGCTTACCATTTACAGATAATAATGAAAAGTGAAGCATAAGCTAAAAGGTGGTTAGAACAATAGGAGTAACAATAGGAGGATGTGCTAGGAAAGTGGTTAAAAGTGTATGAATAGTAGGGGTGATATGCTGGCTCCAGGGATAGTTGCATCTCCGCAGTATCATTTGCTTACTAGCTGAATGTCAGATGTTTGTAGTGACTAAAATTTTACTGTCAAAACAAGTTTCATGCTGGGTTAAAGCTGAGTTAGTGATTCCTGGAAAAGATAGTGTCAGAAAGTGGGTTTGGGGTAATCAAAGAACTTCTGTAAGTGTGTAAGTAGTAAAAGAAATTTTAGGGGAAATATGGGCCTACAGATAAATGGGACAGGAGCCCTGGTGACACAGAACATGTGAAAGGCTGAGGTACTGACTTCATCTTAGTGTTTACTAGAAAGATGAGCTCTTGGTGTGCCAAGGACCCAGACACTGGGGAAGGATTGGAGCAAGGAAGGCCTGCCTGTGGTGGGAGAGGAATGGGTTGGAGAATACCTAAGCAAGCTATTCTTACCTAGGTCCAGAGATGCTCATAAGATGCACCCACAAGTACTAAGGGAGTTCACTGATGTCACTGTGAAGCCACTCAATAATTTTTGAAGGATCATAGTGATTGGGACAGGTGTTTTCAAAGGAAATCAGATGTCCTGCCTGTCTTCAGGAAGAACAAGGAGGAGCATCCAGGGAATTACAGGCTGGTCAGTCTCACTGTGATCCCTGATAAGGTGATCAAACAACTAATCCTGGAAAGTATTTGTGGCTATTTGAAGAGGGGGTGTTCATGAGTAGTCAGCATGGGATCCTTCCCCTTTCCTCAGCACTGGCAAGGCCTGCACACCTGGAGGACTGTGTTGTTCAGTACAGGAGTGTCATGGACCTTCCAGAGATAGTCCAATGAGGAGCTCCTAAGATGTTGAAGGGTCTGATGTTCCTCTCACAGGAGGTAATGATGGGAGAGCAAGGACTGTGAGTCTGGAGTAGAAGAGGCTCAAAAGGCCTGCAGTATCAATGTATACAAATACCTGAAGGGAGGTTGTAAAGAAGGTAGAGCCAGGCTCTTTCCAGTGGTATCTGCTGACAGGCTAAGAGAACAAACTATAGAGGAAATTGCATTAACCATTTAATACATACAAAGGTGCCCTAGGTTTGGCCAGAATAGGGTTAATTGTTTACCATAAACAGAAGGGGGCCTGGCCAAACCCTTCTGTTACTTGATACCATCTCATCACTTGTCAGGGGCTGGAGTAAGAGACTCCCTCATTTCTTGTCAGGCTGGGGGGAGAAAAACTGTGGCAGGTGAAGAGTCTGGTATTGCACTTTATATGTAAATTATTCCATTGTGTTATTAATATTGCTTCCTTCCTTCTCTCATTGATGCTTCCAGTAAATTGTTGTTATCTCATCTTTTATTTTTACCTTTGCTCCTCCAGTTCTTGACACCATTTCCAGAGAGGGGAAGGAGAAGGGGAAGGGGGTGGAGAAAGTGAGCAGCATCTGGTTCAGGAGAATCTTGGTGGGGGCACTGGGCCATGACAGATTTATACATATATATATATATATATATATATATATATATATATATATATATATATACACACATATGGTCATTGTGAGGATGCTCAAATAGTGGAACAAGCTTGCTGTGTAGGATAGTCTTATCCCAGGGGATATTTGAAAGCTGTCTTGATGTAATTCTCAGCAAACTGGGTGGCCCACTAGAGCAAGGACGTTGGGCAGAATGGCCTGCTGAGTTTTCTTTCAAAAAAGAAAATCTTTTCCCCCTGCTTTGTGAAAAGGGGGAGAAGCCTACAAGTCTTTTCTCAAAAGGTACTGAATGCTGGTGATCTGGGAACTTCAAATTTAAGTGCTAGTGTAGATAATTAGAATACAGGGTTCTAAAAATCACAGATTAGTTGCATTTGTCTCACTCAGAACTTAAACAGCCAAGATCCTGTTCCCTTGGCATTTCTGTCATATAGGCCATCCTGGTTCCATCCGGGACAAGTTTAATTTTTGCAGTACCTAGGAGGGATGTTATTCTATACCACCTCACATTGTTGTCAGGCACAGCGGGAAGGGACTCTCTTCAGGGAATAAGGGGTTCCTCACAGTGGAGAAAACATGGCAGATGGAGCAGTCTGGTATTCTGTGGATCATTTCTTTTCTTAGATTTTTTGTTATTAATATTGTTGCTGTTACCCTTCACTTTCTTATCCCATTGCTGTTTCCAGTAAATTGTTCTGATCTCAACCTTTTGTGATCTCTGTATTTTGTCCCTCCAGCTGGCAGGGAGGGGAAGTGGCACATGGTTTTACGGGAGTACTGAATTGGAGAATACTGTTCTTAGACCACAACATATGCTTTAATAATTTTTTTAATAGTAATTCTTCCATAAATACAGGCTGACTGTTGAGCATTTTCACTTGACAGCTATTGTGGATGGCATCTAAATGATAGCCTTTCAGCCAGCACATGTGTTTCTCGAGTTCCTCATGTGCAGCATGTTTAACTTGGAAATTGTGCCTACATGTTGCACCTATTTATCATACTTTTTTTTTTCAATTGCCACTACAATTAGTTAATAAGAATGTGATATTTTTCCCATTCATGTTATATCACTGTCAATTTTATTGGAACTAAAACTGCAGCATAAATGTGTCTCTTTGAAATACTAAATTTCACTTACAGCATTTTGAACCAAGATGTGGTTGTGAGCAATTAATCCATGACAGTGGCATTGAAAAACAGCTCCAGATTCCCATGTAACTTTATATTACTGGCTGCCTCAGGCATGGGATCTCAATTTTCTATTGCGTCTTGGGTTTAAGTGAGCATCCTAGTTCACAGATAATGACTATTGTCTGGAAAAAAGTTTTCTGGAAAAAACTAGCCATTATCTGTGAATTAGCCATTATCTGCTGGATTTCTGTTTGTTAATGTTACTTAGAGAGGATTTTTCATATGAGAGCATCTGTTGAATTGAGGAAAGTCATCATACACAAGTCACCCCCCCTTAGTACTTAGTATCTGCTAGGAAGCTAAAGACACATCAAAACCACTTAGTTTGATGCACATAGTTTGAACTTCCTTTACTAGCTAAAATACTTCATTGATCCAGCTATCTCTAAAAAATTATTATGTGTGAAAACTAATTGCACGTGAAGTACAGCCATGCTGGGGACAGGGGAAAACTGCCTCTGACTTGGTTTACATTTCATTGCTGGGAAATGAGTGGCACAGGGACTGTTCTAGCCTGGATTTTCAGGAAGCACTGATAAAAGACTTAGTCCTACATAAACATAATGTTGTGGGCTACATATGAGCACAGGTAAAATGTAACATTAGGCTCATAATAAGCTTACTATTACTGAGACTATATGTGGAAATATTTATAATCCTGAACTGTGAAAAAAGGAACCAGTACTCTGGAACTTAAAAAAACCTAGCAGGTTCAGTTCCATCCAAAAGACTAGATCATGAAAATCACAAAAATAATTGTACTGCAAGATGAAATTTTAAATTGGAGAGAGATGATTAAATAACTTCATTCAATGTATTGAAACTGAATTTATACCTAGAAATTTTTTTTATAAAATGGTTTCCCCTAACATGACCTTTGGGTGTTACACAGCTAACAATGGTGAAAGGTGATAACCAAGTGCTTCTGCACTAAAGAAATTAGGAGAGTGGGAAAAAATCAGATTCTGTGCATGTAGGAGTTAATATTTTTAATCTATATGGAACACTGACATAAGAAATGTTGAAGTTTATTGGAGGAATCTGTTAACAACTGTTTAAGTCCTGATGGCTTTATTTCTTAAAGTCATTAAATGTAAATCTAAGAACACTAAAA